TTGTTGTGAAAGATAAAACAGGAGCTAGGAGTTAATAATAGGCCATAGATTTTTTCCATCTGTATTGAGGCTTATTTTATAAATAAATATTCTTTATTATTCTTTGGCAACTGCTTGCGGATGACTCAGTCTTTCAAAAATTGGACAAAAGGAATAATATAAATCCCTTGTATCCAGGGAATTCCTCTAATGAGGAGTGACAATGAAATAGAGAAGAAATTTGGTTTTGATATAAAATCTGCAAATGACAGCTGCCTTTTCACAAAGTTATCAATATCATTCCTTTACTAAAAAATACCAATAATAAAAATGCTATCAAAACAACATATTGCAGTAATCCATTTAATAAAGTATTTTAGTAAACTCTGATTATTCAATATCTTCAATTATCTTTTCAAAATAAATGATTCTTTACATATTCAAAAGTTAACTTACTTTCCCTGATAATTTCCCAGAGTATTTTAAAGTGTATGACTTAATCTTAAAAAGGTTATTTGGCTGGGGCTGAGATAAATATTTAAGAAAATTGCACATTTGAAATAAAAAGAAAACAATTTACATAACCATATTGCAGTCAAGCCCACTCACTATATAATGAAGCCACACTAGTAAAAGATTTCCTTTCAAACACAGGTGCCAATACTGGCTCCTCTCGACCTCACATGTGCAAATGCTCTTATGACTTCTGGTGCATCAGCCTTAACCAGCATTTCTGGGCACCTGCTTCAGGCAGAGGTCCTGGACTAGCCGTCATCCTGAAGAGGGACATAGGCACACACACACACACTCACAATGGCTGCTGAGTCTGTAAGGGAGCCAGACATTACCTCAACAGCAGCCTGGTGAGCAGGGACAGCTTAGAGAAAGGATGAACATCTAGGAACATGAGAATCCAGCAAGGGCCTATTGACTTAAAGGGGCACTTAGAATCCCTGAAAGGACTGTAGAGATACCTTGGTCCCCAACCTGAATGTTACAGCTGAGGAAGCTAAGGTCCAAAGAAATTGAAAGACCTGCCCAAGATACCCATCCACTTGTAGCAGCATAGGAACTGGAACTTTGGGGTCCCGTCTTCCATCCTATTACCCTTTCCTGCCTATACTTCTCAGAAATGATTGAATCATCATCCATTTTTCTCCCATGCCCATATCTACCAGGGTCAAGTAAGTAGAGTTTGGAGGACATTAACATGTATTTCATTTACAAAATTGGAACTCTGGTTGAGGCAACAAGGAAGACCCTTCACCAAAGCTTCCTCTTGTCTTAACTGCTCCTGGTCAAGGCTGCTTGAGGACATCTACCCTTTGGTCAGACAGTTATCAGCCAGTCACTAATGTGCCTAGAGATAAACATGACAAAAACATTAAAACTTACCTTCACAAATTCATAAAAGCAAACGTTCTGAACACCAACATTACTTTCAGTTACTGAGAGAAGGAAAGCAACCCGGGTACTCACTGCAATATAGAGGCTTTATGAATCACTTTTCTGCAGAATAAATTGGGCCTTTTAACAAACCCTTTAAATCACTCACATTCTGCTGTATATGTAAGTCTTCCCTGACTACTGACTTAGTAATAAAAGTAGGAAAAAACAGAAGTCTGACAATAGCACATTTCTTTTCCATGACAAAAGACTATTGTGTCAATATTTATGGAGATAGACTTATTTTAAAAGTAATTTAACAATAAAATCATGTTGCTAAGCACACTGATTTTTTATTTATTTAAAAAAGTTCAATAAAAAGTTTGAAAAGTGAGCAGACCTTCTGAGATGCAAGGATTTTATGCGCTCACACAGCACACCCACACTTCAACATACCATTTTGCAACTGCTGTGTATTATTAACAGGAGGCGGATTCTGCCAGGCACATAATTTGTATATTTAAGGGAGGTGTATGGAACGAAAAAGCGAAATATGTTAAATTTCAAAGGACTTGGAAGCAATGCTGCCTGTGAGCTTGTATTACAAATAGCCCTACATTATTACATACGCTATTAATGAGGCTGAGTGAATGAAAGTACAATTTGAATATGCATGACTCTATCCAATGAGCAGGACTTTTGTGTACTGATGAGTTTTTTTTTCCTCCTAAAAAAGGATTAAAATTATTCTTAGAGAAGTATGGCTGCCCAGAGACCAGTAAAATAAATGTACTTAGACCACCGAGTCACACTATATTCAGATGAAATATACAGGTGCTAAAACAATGACTTTGACTTTACCTACAATTTTTGAAACTTGTACATATCCCGTCCTCCCAAAAGGAATATTCTTCAACTTAAAGCAGCTGCGTCATTACAATTTCTAAGCAAAAATAGTGATTTTGGTGGCGATCCCTAAAAGTAGGCAAGGTTAAATAAACCTTTTAAGTATAAAGCCTTCACTTGCATAGTAAGGAGCACTAGTTAAAAGACTGGGGAATGGGTAAATTATGGCACCAAATGGCTGAGAATTAATCTCTGCTGACTAGCTGTAATCTAACGAGGCGTCTGTGTCCCAGGGAGCCCACAGCATGTCCCTGGCGGTATGTGCAGTGTGTTGAGTCTGCGTGGCACCCTTTGTCCTCACTCACAGGCGGCCTTTCCCCTCATTGTCCATAATATCCTCATGCATCTGGGACGCGTGGAATGCATTCATACTAACAGACTTACCATTGTTTTCTCTCAGAAGCTTTGTTGAGCAAAGACTGCATCACGGTTACTGATAATTATATTGCTTAATTAATCAAGACAAAAAAAATTTGCAAATCATTGCCTGGTTGCCAAGCAGGGAGATAAAAAATGACAACAATACAAGCTGAAGCAATATAACAAAAGTAACAGCTATCTGATCAGAAATTCTTATATAATGAAGCTATTAATGCTAAATCGGTTAATGTTAACATTGCTCCAGGTGTCTCTACTTACATGCAAACAAAAAGGCTAACATTATGGATATAAAAGGCCAAATGTTGCCATGGATTCTGTAACCTGATAGAGAGGACAGCCTTTTCATTTGATTAGGGAATGCAATTTAAATACCAGGGACTGAAGCCAAACAAACAGACTTTCCCTCCACAAGCCTCTTGCATTCACCCTGGGGTCAGTGGTTGGTGAACAAAAGGTCAGCCACACTTGCCCTGGAAATGTCTGGATTAATTTTATTACATTGTAATGGTTTGTACTTTAAATGTGCAGATAACACTAAATTTCCAGTTGGCCATTATTCTCTTCTTCCCTTTAGGCTTTCTGAATTGAAATATTAAGAAAGCGATTTGCTCAATTCATCTTGTCAGAATTTATGACCAAATTTATAAAACTTACACACATTTTTAAAAGAAATTTAAAAAGGTATATTAATACTTGTTTTCATGCATTATAAGTATAATAATACTTTTTAAAAAATCACTTCTGACTCTATAAAGTGAATCAAAATACCTTTTTTATCTTCTTTCTTTATCATAAAAATAACCGTGATATTTTTAGGACATTGAATGACATTTTACAGGGCCATGCTGAAAATGAATTAATAAAGCCAGTTAATCCATACTAAATATTAAAGAAACACATTTTCCAGTTTTGAAAGCTACAGGATACTAAATTTATTGGTTGTCTAACATTAAAATTTTCAGTTTAATTTTTAAAATTAAAGTAGCGTTCTTCATGGACAAACACAAATGTTTTTAGCACTAAGAGCCATTTTCTTATACAAAAATGAAAACTTCACATACACAGAGACCTGAATCAAAGATAATATATACATTTAATATGAAGAACTTTTGGCATCTTTGCTCCCTGAATAAAAAAGAGAGTTCCCTTATGTCAGGCTTCTCACCAGCCAGAGTGGGTTCCCTTTTGTGAATTCAGGAGTTGACCCACACTGTATCTAGGTTGACAGATAATAAGCATGCTAAACTTGAGGATTCATTGTTTATACTATTTTCAAGGTGCTAACGATGACAAAAAAAAAATAATAACAACAACAACTAAAACTTAAATAGCTTTTACTCTGGGCCAGGCATTGTTTGAAGCACCTTTCAATTCTCTGCTCATTTAATCCTCACAACTTTAACACTTTAGATTAGGTTATAAATTCCAGTAAATCTCAGTTACCTGTTACTTTAAAGCTTAAAAATAGAGAGTATTTACAATGGTAACTTTTAGCTTCTTCAGGAGAACAATTTGAAATGAAAATGAAGATTATATTTAATATCAAGCTGAAACACACGAACTCATTTTCTTGAAGAGGAGTGACAATATGCTAAATGTTTAATTAAAAAATTTAAGAAAAAAGCCCTTCTATTAATAATTCCAAAATGAAAACAAGTCACTGTATAAAGCATCCCTAAAATACCACTAAAGGCATGGCAAGGATGGAAACTGCAGCCAATTTAGTACATGGCACACGACCACTGGATTGTTCTAGCCATTCCCATGATCAATACCAATTGACACAGCTGGATTCTGTGGCAAGGTGCTTCAATTGTTAAAAATCATCACATGGGCTGTGCTACAGAGGCCTGGCCTCTTCATGGACATGCCTGCAATCCTTCAGGACTGACTCCCATCAGTGCAGACAGAGGCTCGGCGAGCAATGCCCATCTGTCAGGCAATGTCGGATTCTATACTCACAGCCATCCACAAAATGCTGGATGTGATATGGGCTTCATTCAACTCTTATTGTTATTAATTAAGGTGCCCAAAATGTAAAATTATAATTTTATTTTAAATTACAATATTTTTAAAATTTAAAACATTTTAAAAATCATAAATGTCTTTACATTATAATTTTCAAAGAGTCTAAGCAATAAAATACAGAATTCTGAACTCGTGATGAAAGATTCTTTGAAAATCTCAATTCAGATATAATTCCTATATAGCATATGTAATTCAGATACATGTAAGACATTCACCAGTTGGAAAAAAGCCCCCTTTAACTAATATCACTGTTTTTCAATAACAGTGAATCATATGGCAAATGTTGTATGAGTCAGAGCAATAACATAGTGAAAACATACCTCGGGTTTCTTCGTTATAGCAATATAGAACATGTGATTCTTCATTGGGTAAATAATGATTGAAACATCTCCAAAGGCGGTTGGGATAATACCCCTGCGGTAGTCCCTGGAGTGTTCAGACCAGACGATGTGGACCTCGTCATTCCCCAAGTGACGGAGCTGCAACAGCAAATTGGCTCTTTATTAATCAGAGTGATAACAGCAGTTTATGAGGGGTCGTGGCTTACAAATTGAATTATAATACTCAGAGGCAAAAATCTTTCATTCCCCAAAAAGGCTACACCACCAATGTCTTCTATGAGAATTTAAAAAAGCACAAGTGCATGAAAACACAGCTTGCCTTCCATGAAACACACTGGTAGTAAGGTAATGTACGTAAGCATCATAGGTACATTATGGCTGGATGGGGACAAGATCTTTTCGAGGATTTTTTAAAATTGAATTTTACTCCTGCATCAAAGCCTTACGCTTTGTATCGTTGAGCATGTTTCTAAACAATTAACGATATGAGTCTTATTCCATATTACAGCAGAGCTTCATAATACTCTTAATTCAATGATTATTAAGATAAAAAGAATATGAACATAAGAGAACGTTAAGTCATTATAATGCAATTGTTATCAAATGTATAAAAACTAGACTTGTGACAAACCTTTAAGAAAAAGCATGTATAAAATTACCTTTGTTTAAGAAACTAATAAATATTGCTTTAATTTAATAAGAAGACTAGTATCCAGCCTTTAAAGAATGCCATAGAAAGTATGTTCACACATACTGTTTTGTTTAATTTTTCCACTAACTCTCTGAGGTAACTACATCATCTTTATGTCATCTAATGAGGAGGAAATGGGGCTCAGGAAGGTAAAGGTACTGCCTACCTAAGGTGCATGAACAGTGTGTGGCAGAGCAGGCCTGAAAACCTGGGCTGGGGCTTCTAATTCAGCCCCACTTCCACTGTTCATGGATATCTAAGCCTACACCAAAAGCTAATTATCATAGCCTGCTTGTTTATCATTTTATGCACAAAGAGGCCACAGAGTCCAAAGACAAGTTAGAGACTCCTGGCCTTTCTGAGGAGGTCTTAGCATGTCTCCAAGGAAAGGACCCTTTGCGAGTTCTTCCAGGGTCAAGCTCTGTCAGATGCAAGAAAACCCTTGATAAAGTCCCTACGTAATGATTGCATAGCCTAGGCTGTAGAACGCTGCATATGAAATCATCTGAGTAATCCTGAAAGTGTGACTAAAAGAAACTAGATTATAAAAATTTAAAAAATGTTGGCCAAAATTGAAATCCTAAAACCATACAAGTTGACTGGTGAACATCCTTTGACATCCACTGAGAATCTGAGGTTTCGTCCTTTTCCACGCTGCAGAAGACGATATCTACCACCACGAGGAAGTGTTGCTTGCTTATTTAACAGATGAACCCTAAAAATGCCTAAATTCAGAGGCACTTTAATAAAATAGAGATGTTATGACAAAGCTCACGTTTTAGTTTTGTCTTAAAATATAAAAAAGGATGCTCTGGAATACTACGTATTTAAAATATGTTAGTATAAATACAGTTTTCTTTAGAGATAATTTAACCACAAAGGGAAAATCTGAGGTGACCCCAACTTGGTCTCCTTTTCATTTACAAGGTTACAAAGGAAGTTGGTTTATTGCAATGTCTTCTTATTCTTCACTCTTTTATACTTCTGGGAACGACTGTACAAGTCAATTTTTAAAAAAGAGACTTGCATCTGTATCTTTGTACCTATAGGGAGATACAGGTGCAAGAACAGTAGCCCCTATTAATGGTGTCTATGACTTTCTAAATGTGAAATTACCAGTACAGCTTTTTTTTCTTCCCTTCCCCCCTCACACATAAAGGCTAAAAGGGCAGCAGGCAACAAGTGTAGCTAACCCGTTACATAAACAGTTAAAAAAGAAGACACTGGGTTCTCATGGTAACACTGAACATCTCTCTCTATTTTTCTATTTCCATCTTAAATTTCCATCTTTCTTTCCTTTTTTCCCTTTTTAATAAAACATGCCAGGACCTCACAACACACTCCTAAAATTCAATCCTTTTGGAGTGAACACATGGTAGCCAGCATCAACAGCAACACAATAAAGGCATGTATAATCTAAATAGCATCAAATTGAAACTTTGGGAGGAATTTAGACCAGCAGAAGGTAATTGTGAGAGCTGGGGCCGCCCCAGAGCTCACACCTACACCCCTCATCCTGCAAAGAGAGCCAACCTTCCGGTGGTGTTGTGCACTTGATATAATGCTAGCACAAACATCTGAGTGGGAATAACATGCCTACTAAACACCTGTCACCTGTGGGGCTACCATCCAATGCCAGCACCCTGAAACCTGTGATCCAAAAGTATAAGTTGCAAGGCATCAGCTCTGAAGTAATACAGTGATTATTGAAAGTTTGCAGTTACTCTCTCTTTTCTAAATTAGATTACTCAATTATATAACCCAGGTAAGTCTCTTCTAATTCTGTTTGCAACTGTATTCTCAGAACTAGAGCAAGGGAGAATAGTATCACACTAATAGACCCATCCTCCCAGTGTGGCAATTCTGTAATTAAGGAAGAGCTAGTTTTGTGTGATAATATGATATTCATCATCTCAAAGCTGCTTTCAATGTCACGTGCCTCAGACCTCTGGACGCATCACAATTTAATTAGCCAACTCACAAAACTAAGAGCTCAGGCCACAGGACCACTTGGCTGATAAATCTGGAGCAAAGAGCAAAAATATACCCTCTTTTGCCTATGACAAGAACACAAGTAGGTAAAACAAATAAAATTAACCTGGCCAAATTGTCAACCATGTCAGAACATAAGGGAATACTCTGCCAACTTCAAAGTGCTGCTCAATTTAAAGGGGATTTCATTACAGAGACATCATTTTGTGAGTTTTGGAGAATTGTGGTTAAAGGCCCTCAAATTAGAAATCCACCAGCAAGTTTGTCCCATGCACACAAGTCAAGTGGATCTGACTCATGTGTAATCTGGGAGGAGACTGACAAGTCACGTCCTGGAATGGAGCTGTCATTCACACCAGCTACTGCTTCAACTGCACAACAGACTCGAGAATGCGAGAATGCTTAACAGGCTCAGAACAAATGCTCTGTTCTGAAGTCTTAAGAAATCAAGGCTATGTCCTGCCACTTCTCATCCTGACAGAGTTTTAAAGTCCCTCTGCCTGGGTCATTTTGCCTGCTGCTGCCAGGCGGCACGCACTAGTGACACTGCTCATGGTGCACACCTAATAGGCTGACCTCCTTTCCCGACTAATTGCATTACATCGCCAGCTGGCTCCAGAAGGAGTCGTCTGTTTGATTGAAGAATTCCTGCTCCTCAGTGGGCCCGGCTGCTACTTGTACTAAGTAACAGTCAGGCCTGACATCCCCATTGTTCAGCTGACAGTGTGCCCATCCTAAAATCTAAGTTTTATTTGTAAATTAACCAAGAAACTTCCTGCCAGAACAGTGCTGCCTGGAGACTGATAATGTGGGCCTTTCATCCCTTTTCACTCGTACTGTATCACTGCCAATTTGTTTTTTATGCGGCTGGCCAGCCTGAGGCTATAAAAGCCTTGTAAGACATAAGTGCAATTATAGTCCTGGAGTCAAATGAATTGGACAAATCCAATAGCACAGCTCTGTCCCCACTCTGCAAACCCCTACAGCAGTTAGATTAGCTGTGAAAAATCTAATCTAGCTAGAGCTAACAAATTTCTGCAGTGAAGGATCAAGAGTTCAGTATGGGGTTGTAACCGGATTGCAGAATTGAAAAAGTGCCCCCATGACAGGGACAGAAGAGAGCATGAATCACTTTAGAATTTTGCAGCGCATTTTTAAGCTGTTAGGGACAATTTAGTTAGAATAAGACAAGGAACTGCGGGCTGCTGTTACTGTGACTGATTTTTAGTCTAGCTGTGAGACATCCTGATAAAGAGAGTTTGTCACTAATGATGCTAAATCTTGGAACTGCAAAAAGTATCAGCTGAAGTTTGATTATTACAGTAGGGAATCTTTCAACCAGGCCAAGCCTTGGAATATTATTTATAGCATGGTGTTTTATCAAGAAAACACTATGTCTTATCTCAAAAAATAAAAAAATGCAGACAATCCTACCTAGGAAATAATTTTTAAAAATATTTGAAATATAAATCTATCTTTTAATAGTTCTAAGAAAATCACAGAATATGGTGACACATTTGCAAAGTAGCAGCAATTTACAAGGTACTGCAAATAAAAAGGATGTGTAAGCCTTCCCTAGGGCCTTGGTAATCTGAAATAGATTCTCTGAGGGCAGGGTTCCCTTCACCAAGAACACAGAGCAGAGCAGCATTAAAACCTGAGGTGGAGGCAGCTCCTCCATGCCTGGGGGAGCCAGCACACGGCTAGCAGGAGGCCATGCTAGCACGCAAGCCAGGGAGTGACAGCCAATCGTGCTTTGCACATCCAAGACACTTGGTCACTGTGAGAGTTGTCTGTGATTGTGCTGTGACCCAAGTTCTGAGGTCTCATGAACACTGCAGCCTACCATGTACATGGCCCAGACATCTGTGGCTGCAGTAACGAAAAAGCAAACTCACCAAGAAAAGAAATGAGGCAGGTACAGTGAGGTCCATAGGCCAATATCAATCATCTGCCTAATGGGGCAGGGGAAAAAAGAATCAAATAGACCGATGGGCAATGACGAGGGCCAATGGTTAGAGATCTTACCAGGCACCAGGCTAAACAATTTTACAGGTATTATCCATTTCCTTCACAACAACCCTGTGACATGGGCTGTGTTTTTAATCTCCTTTAATAGATGAGGAAACTGAGGCATAGGCTGGTGAAGTAACTGGATACACACTTGAGTCCAGGTCTGCCTGTCCCCAGACCCTGGCTATTAACCGCCAGACTAGAGCCCCCAACAGCCAGCCTGAGTTACCATCTGAATGACCTGCTTTCCCACCCACTCAGGTGCTGTCCTCAGTTCCTTGCACCTCAGAGGAAGAGAGTGGGTGCCTGGTAGTGCATCCAGGCTCTGCCACTCACTAGCAGGCCAAATTGCAATTGTTCTTCTCATGTGAAAACTCACAGAAGTGGGTCCAATTTCTAGGTTTCCATTCCAGACTAAAATTCCTCTTCTGTTAAGGTGTTCGTCACATCTAACAAAGGGGCACCTGAGGTGAACATACTGCAGATTGGAATATATAGGGCTGTGTTTCCCGGGAGTGTTCCTCAGGGTTAGGAGCTTTCCTTTGAATTCTAGAAAAAACTGCTCACAGGGCCCAAGTTGAAGGAGAACACAAGGTAAGTGCCAAAGGTGGGACCGCTGGGCAGCAGCACACCTGTACTTGCCATGTTGACAGACATTGCCAAATCACCCCACAGCAAACCTGAATGGTGCCTGCTTTCTCAGAACCCCATCAGTACAAGGTCATTACATCTTATGACCTTTGCCACCAGAGAGGTCAACAACATTACTTTCTGTTAGTTAATAGTCATGTGAGGGAAGATCCAAAATTAACAACATTGAAGACCCTTCTTTTTCCTAAATCTTAATCTCAGGATTTAAGACTCAAACGACTGATTGCTTTTCATATTTTTCTTTCTTTAGTTTGCTCCAAGCTGGATATTTCAGATTAACTACCACTGAAGCTTGAGAAGAGCGACACTGAGGTAGCCTCCAGGGAATCGGTCTCTGTGCGTGTTATGCCATGACCTTCATTCTGTTCTAGGAGAGCCTCATCTACAAATCAGGGCAGCTAAGAAGGGTTCCTAAGGAGACCCTTTACCTTTTTGGTGAGCGAATCATCTGAATCTGATGGCATCCGAGTTGAAACGTGAAAAATCACTTCCACGGTTGAGGTAGCATAATAAGGGGCGGTCTGCCCAGTGCTGCCATTGCGCTGCAGTCCACCCATGAACCCGCAGTGGGTTGAGAGATCCACCTGATGCAGATCACCAAGGGGAAGAGTGAGGGTCAAATATGAGCTGTTCTTGGTCACTAAGCAGGAATGTAGATTTTTAAAATGATCTAATTATTTTCATTTCTATAGCTTTCTGATTACAAACAAATGCAATACAATGTTAGACAAAATAAAATATTAAAGAAACATAAACAATGAAAATGCTCCAAAATCCTACCAACTTAAGAAAACCACTCTCAAAAGTTTGGTGCCTATTTCTCTAACTTTTTCTTCTTCTATACATATGTAGATGTGTGTGTGTGTGTGTGTGTGTATATATATATGTATGTACGGATGTATATATATGTATTTATGTACACACACGCACACATAGTTTCCCTATTGGTGGGTTTATGGGGTTTTCGGCTTTCTCAAATAGTGCTGGTGTGGTCAGATCAGAAGGAGGATTCAAAGGGGTGTTTTGGCAGAGATGTTTCAGAATTTAAGAGCCATTGCTAAACCGCCTTTCAAAAGGGTTGTTCCAATTTACACCACTGCCAAAAGTCTATGAGTCATAATTCTTTTTCAAGCTATGGCATGAATGCTCACTTCGTGCCTAGATGCAATTTTTTTACTTTCATAAACTAGTATTCTTTCAGTAAAGCACCTGTTGTAACACAATCAGAAAAAAAACAGAAGAATCTCTTCTGTGCCAAATACAGTACACATATACACTGAATTAATTAATGTTCTAGTCTTTTCTTAAAACTCTAGTTAAGAATGTACAGTTTAAAAAATATATTAAATAATATATTATTATTATACTTATATTATTTTTATATACTTATATTATTATTATATACTAATATTATACTAATATTATACTTATGTTATTTTTATATACTAATAATATACTACTAGTAATATACTTATATTATTATTATACTTATTAAATAATAAGTATATTCTATGACAAATAAGAAATCATCTTATTAGTAAGAAGAATGATTTACTGGAAGTGCAATAACTCTTTTAGACTAAAACCTACTTGATATTTTAGAAAGTATATGGTCTTGACCTTGATGTACCCTTACCCTGTCCCTGTCTCCATATCAGTGGAGTTGCTAACACTCAACTCTCAGAGACAAGTCTTACTTATGTACCCAGAGAGTTTCCCACAGCACAGATAACCAAGAAAAGTAATAAAAAGTAAGAAAATTATTCAGTTATGCTGATTTCCATTTTAACTACTCTGAATTCTTTCAGATTCTGGGAATACATTTCCCTTTAGATTTATGTTGCTGGAGACAGATATACGTGGATGTGTGTGTGTATACATGTATATATGTATATATGTCTGTCTGAGTATCATTTAGTAAAAAAAAATCAAACGTTTTCAATATCAATCATCCTGGGCTCTAGCTTAGGGAAACAGGTTGATAGCTAAACCATCATGGCTACTATATTCTATTTTCATTCCAACTTTTGACTTCATCCAACTCTTTCTTCATTTTTTCACCCATCAAATCATTGATTTCTTCTCCAATCTCCATATTGTGGCCAAAGCCATTGCTTCTCTGCCCACGTCTGTCTTCTCTTACTATAAACTATCTATGATTGGGTGAGCTGATCTGACTAATCAGTTCTGATAAAAAGCAAATGAAATAATATTAAGAGGAAAGTTAAGGGGAAACAAAAATTCATGTATAAAGTAGTGAAAAGAAACTAATAGAAGATGTCAAATTAAATACATTCTTCAACTCCAGAACTCTAGCCATGCTACTGAATGTAAAAACATGTAAAAACTTACGCAATCAATATCTAGTTTATATACATCCTTAAATAGTGCTGGTCAATAAACACCTCCTGAATGAAATGAATTACCTCCCATCCAAGTCCGGCAACAAAGTCTTCATATGCTTGGCTTCCTCTTTCATTGGAGAGGATTGAACACTTGTCTTCTTGACCTTCAGCAATATAAAACACTGCGATTTTGTGCGTTTCACGGCTATAAATTTTTAAATTTAAAGGAGTTAGAATTCTCACATATAAAATTTTATTTTACTACTACCACCAGCATGACTCCTACTATAGAGCTTACATTTGCTGAGAATTTACTAGGACAGTCAATGTTCTAAGGAGGTTTGACGCATGATCTCCTTTACTCTTCACAACCACCCAAATGAGACAAGTATTATCATCACCTCCTTCGCAGATGTGGTTGAAAGGAGGCACAGAAAGGTAAACAAAAAGCACACATAGCAAGCACGAAACTGGGAACTGAAGCAGGGCAGTCTGGTTCTTGCGATTACTCTCTCAGACATATGATACACCTAACAGCACATCACAGCACACCATCTGACAAATTCTCTCCATCTTTGGTGAAAAATATCTTTGAAAGCATTTCAAATAGATATCAATCATGAATAGATCTATGTGACCACTGATATTTCACTTTCCACACTCTAAGATGAGGATATTGGGTAGCTCCCTGATTGGAACTATAAAATATGCCAAGACATTATGAGAAAGAGAAAATTCTTCCAAGCAGAACACACTTAGGTACTTCCTTTGTGAGGGGTATACCTACCCTGTGCTCTGATTAATCTGAGGGTGCCTGGTAGGGTGGACAGCTGTCCAGGGAAACTTCTTTGGCCATATAAACCCTCATCCACTTCCTCCACAATGTGTTTTGGGCACTTTGCTGTTAAATCAAGTAAACATGATGTGCACTTTGAGGAAAGAAGCCCTGCCTTTTCACCTCCTGTACATCTAGCATAGTCCTTGGTAGATAGTAGGTGCTCAGTTAAATGTCTGTTGCACTGACTAGAGGTATGACGATATATTTGAATATATTAATAACCAACTTCTACAAATTATACCCTGGAGTAAAGTGTCAAAATAACTAGACCTATACCAAGCAATTTGGTATTAGTTTAGAGATGAAGACACTGTTCTCATTCAAACAGGGCTTTAATCAAGAACCGCTCATTCCACAGCCCCATCATCCAAGAGTTTTTTTACTCTCATCTCAATTTTCTAAAATTTTGGGTTACCACTTCCAGAGCAATTCCACCCTTCTTATTTTTGCACTACATTCTGAAAAATTTCATAAGAAAAACTATCAAGCACTTAAACAATAGGGAAATGTTTATATTGTCTAATTGTTCCGTATCTCAACATTATAATCTGATTAGACATCTTTATTGGTGGAATTTGGGCTCCATATTTTAACATTTTGTAAAATATTTCCTTCTGCAGGAGTTATTTTTCTACCTACTAAGCAGAATGAATTGAAACTCAACTAAAAAGTCACAAAAATAAATCAAGGAGGAAAGTACTCTTCTTCTATTCTACTAGATAGCTTATTCATTTCCCCTAGTTTACATGTAATAAACATACTTAGAAGAAAAATTAGAAAATATAGGAAGTAAAGAGAAGAATAAAAAAATCACTGTGTTCTTTGCTTATATGTTGAAATCACAACTGCTACCGTTTTAGGATGCATTTTTGCATAAAAAAATGAGAAGTTACTATATTCTGCTTTGCAACTGATTGTTTCAATGAAAATATTTGTGAACACTTTTTTATTGTGTAAAATATACATAATATAAAAGTCACTACTTACGCCATTTTTGAGTATGAACACTATTATACCATGTGCTTGTATAACAAAGTTATTAATGGTTGTGTAATATTCTATTATATTAATATACCATATCCCAAATCTTTGTTATTGGACATTCAGGTTGCTTTCACTTTTAAAGACATTTCACACTATCTTTGCTATGTCCTTAAAATAAACTCATAGAAATGGAATCATCGTCATTGCCCATTTTAAGGCTTCTGATGTACACTGGCCTGCTGCCACTGGGGAAGGCGGACATCCTGAACACCCTGACTGGTACGGCATGAGCACATCCGGGAGGCTGCCTCTCTTAATGGGAACAGTTGTGAGGAGAGGGGAGTTTTGTGGTGATGGATCCTAGGGGGCTGATGCTCTCGTAGAGACCTTGCGCTCTCAGACTGTCAGAAAGCATGTCCTCAGGTAGTACGGAGCCCCAAAATGGTGACACCATTTACTCCCTGAGCAACAGGCAGGACACTGGCAGTCTACAATCTGACTAGCTTATTCTAAGAGCTATAATAATTTGGGGGCTTGGATGATAACAGAGATCATAACCTATGACCTAAAAGACTGTCTTTTTCAACAAAAGGAGAAAAAAGTATAGTTACTTAATTTCTTTCTGCAGCTCTCTCTATATATATTTAAAAGTCCTTAGCATTTAATTTTTCCCTATTCTATACACTCTACATATATAAAAACATCTTAGGTTTATCTGAAATGTTTTTGTTTATTCTCCTTAAAGTCCAAGCTTTTTACATCGTAGCTACTCACAGATCCTTGAGTCTTCATTAACTCAACATGGGAGCACAAGAGAGCTAAGCCCCAATGACTGCCTAACAGATGTAGGTGTGAGGAAAGGTGACCTTTAGCTGTAAACATTCATCAAATTTCACATCCTCCAAAATATTAGCACCACAGAGAGCCCGCTAGGATGCAGACACTGTGTCTGGCCTTATTAGAGCTAGGCTTTTGAAATGATAATTAGCAACACCAACAGCACTTCATATCCATAAGCTGCATGACCAGTGCACGAAGAAGCAGGTAATTCAGGAACACACATACATAAAATCAACAATTTTCTCCCCCTCATTAGAATGCATTTTTCTTTCTTATTAGGAATAGGCCAGAATAGCTCAGTTTCCTTGTGCTGTCACATTAAAAAGAAAAACAAAGGGGCCAGCCCGGTGGCGCAGCGGTTAAGTGCGCGTGCTCCACTTTGGCGGCCTGGGGTTCACAGGTTCAGATCCCGGGCGCGCACTGACGCACTGCTTGTCAAGCCATGCTGTGGCGGTGTCCCATATAAAGTAGAGGAAGATGGATACGGATGTTAGCCCAGGGCCAATCTTCCTCAGCAAAAAAGAGGAGGACTGGGATTGGATGTTAGCTCAGGGCTGATCTTCCTCACCAAAAAAAAAGCCAAACAAAGAAAAAACATGCTTTTAACTTTCACCTTACCATGTGGTGACAAGAGGCATTAATATTTAAAAGGGGAGGCCACTGTAGTTTGTATGTACGTTCATCATACTATGTACATCTTCGCTAACTTCAAAGCATATAGATGATAGTTGCAAGATAGTCTCTACTTTTCCTCAGAACATGCTAAAGCAGGAACTACGCCTCAACAGCAGGGAGATAGATTGATATCAGAAAGAGAAACACCCTAACTGAAAGCTGAAGGACAAGATATGTTCTTACCTCCTAACTGACCAATACACAGGACAGTCTAGATTTTTCATAGCTGAAGAGTCCCCAGTTTATTTCTGTTTTTTTCAAAAAGAACCCTGAAAACACCCTTTGCCATAAAATAAGTTGATACCTTTTTAGATGTCAGGAAGACACTAAATCTAGGCTTTGGGGTTTCAAGCAAAGGTTAATCAAAGGGCAGAGGATTTGCCAATCAGCTCTCCAAAGCCATATTTTACTGCAACAGCACCCCAGGGAGCTAATTCAATTGTACCTCCTGCAACTAAAGTGCATTAACACTCAACAAATTGGCCACAATTACAAGATAGCAATATATTCACTTAATACTACGAAGCACAGAGTAATTCAGCATATGCTCGAAAAGCTGAGTTTGGAAACCAAGTGACTGCTTGTTTAATACTGGAGGACAAGAGGGAGAGGGAAGTGAATCCCTGAGTCCTTCAGAAGAAACCCCTCACAGAATTTCCAGAGAATTTGGTCTCTATTCCTCTACAGAAAAAGAAGCACAACAACAATGGGGAAACTGAACATGATGGAGGGCAATGTGAGGAATGATGGCTTCAGGTTTCTCATCTCTAACAAGATATCTCATGAAATTCCTAAGGAGAATAAAAAAGGAACAAAAAGTTTTTATTTATTTATTTGTTTGTTTGTTTGTTTGAGGAAGATCAGCTCTGAGCCAACATCCAGTGCCAATCCTCCTCTTTTTTTGCTGAGGAAGATTCGCCCTGGGCTAACATCCGTACTCATCTTCCTCTACTTTATATAGGACACCACCACAGCATGGTTTGACAAGCGGTACATCGGTCCGCGCCCGGGATCCGAACCTGCAAACCCTGGGCTGTCAAAGCGGAGTGCGCGCACTTAACCGCTGTGCCACCGGGCCAGCCCCAAAAAGCTATTTTTTAAAAAATGAGGTTTTAAAAAACTAAAGCAGTTCACTCAAGACTTTTAAGCACCTGTTACATACCAAGTACTACACTTACACTTGACTGAGATGTTTTTGGAAGCACACATTTCCCCAAATCAAAAACTGGTTGTGAGCTCATCTTTAGAATTGCTTCTAAGATTATACAGAAAAGGGGTAGATCTGCAATTTGACCTGCTTTGGAGAATGAGGCTGACTACTAGGGAGTTACTAATTATCACACACTGGTTTAATCTTGCCAACATTGTAGAGCAGAGACCACAGAACGCCAGTGCATCGGCATACAGCACGGGTTATGAAATCAGACTCATTTGCTTCAAACAACACGGTATGTGCGAGCACAGGCAGGCTGCTTGACCTAGGTAAGCCTCTGTTCCTCACTGGAAAAAGAGGTGGCTGCAGAGATTAAATGAGAATGAATGTCCACTGTCTGCCACATGGAAAGGCCCTCAATCAAAGGCACAGATTAGGTGGAAGCAATGAGTTCTCAGTGTAGCAAACATGTAAGTTTATTCCTCAAGGGTAAAAATACCAACGGTATGGCATGTGCAAATGTCACCAGATTCTAGGTTATAGAACTACCCATGGGTGTCTCTGTAGGTGTATTCATTCCTGCAGCTGTATCTGTCATCCAAGTACACGTAAAGATAGACAGATATAAAGTGTTTTGATATACTTTCACATACCACTGACGGGAGTCCAGATTTTTTAGCTCTCTCAATAATTTTGAATTTTTCTTCAATAGATGGAAATTCTTCCTACAAAGAAAAAAAGATGGAAGAAAAGTTGTGCAATCACAGACCAATTTTGCCCTTTCCAATCAATTAACAAACCTATCTATTCATCCATCCATCCATTTACCAATCCATAACCCACCTTATTCACAAAAGATTTGTGACTGAATCCTCCAGAATGAACTCTATTCTTCTTAAGACATTCAAACACATCAAAATGCCACTGCATCCCATTACTGTCCAGTGACACTGGATGGCTCTGTGGTCAATGAGTGTGTGACTTGTGTGCGTGTGCCTGTGTTTCTGTTTTCACTGTCAACTCTGCTATGAATCTGTTTTCCCCACCTCTGCACTTATAAATACTCCACTCCACTGTGAGGGTCCAGCCAAACCCAGCTCCTCCCACAAAGTTGTCTCCACTGAGCAACACTTCCCAATGGATTAACTGCTTCTCTTGAACTCCTCTGTCACGCTCCCTTCATCAGAGTTGTATCAAATCTACCTCCCTCATCAGGGCTAAGGTGAGACTGCAGCTTATTTATCTTTGTAGTCCATTTGCATCTTTCCTGAAGGCAGAAGCAATAATGGACAGAGCAGTAACTAAAACATATACACACACAGAAAATGTTTGATATCCTCTAAAATATTCAACAAATGTTTGGAATTCAATCTGTACATCAGTAGAGCATAGTTAGTTTCATCTCTAGCTTTAGTTTAGCAGCAGAAAATAAACTGTAAATGCTAAAATAGAGAAAAATCTGCATTTCTATTCTTTGCTTCCCTAACCCCAAATTGGTAAAAATAAAATAAGGATAAGATAACTGAAAGTCTACAGTGGATTGTTACCTTCTGTCCCAAGAATTCATTCCCAAGTCATCGAGCAACAGCCTGCAGAAATAAAAGGGGCCTCGGGGCTCCACTGGTGATGGCTGCTCCTGGCTGGTGACTTTCATGGCCGAATCAGAGTTACACCTCCGAACATACTCGTCTTCTTGTGCATTCTGGCGCAAAATGACCTCGATGATTTCCTTCTCTTGGTCACGGTTCATTCCACATGGGGGTGGGGAAGGCTCATTTAGATTTAGCTGCGATGGTAAAAGGCATTCAGGACTTGTATGGCCAATATTTTCAACTAATTTGTCGAGGACATCATCTCCCTCCTCAGTTTGAGAAAAATCTTTCTGAGGTCCAACTGCTTGATGCTGCCAACCTGAAATCAGAAATGCAGGACTTCTGCCATTGGGTGCTAAGTAGGCTTCCAAAGGTCCATATAAAACCTTCCCATCCCAAGAGTACTTCCCTGAGATATCCCTCACAATTACTCTCACGTCGGAGAGGGTGCCCACTGGTGATGTGCCTGTCGGTCCTTCCGAGGGTGTTTGAAGGTAGGAGATGAGGGTACTGTCATTAAACACAAACAGCTGCAGGTTTGGGCTCCTGAACACCTCGGAGGAGAGCTCAGAGGCTTCCGCATGCGCATTGTCATGGTTCTCGCTGACCAGGCTGTGCAGCACAGCGGGGCCCCCGTGGAGGGGAAAGTGTCCCAGGTGGTTCACCAGGTGGGCCATCACCATTCTGGCAGTCAGAGGGATCAGCTCCAAACTTCTTCTCTTCCTTTCTGTGAACAGCAGTAAAAAAATATACAGAGACAGTGGAGAATAAAGATTAAAATATGTACTTAGAATGTTTGGTTTTTTTAGTCTGGGAAATTTTTTCACCTATGATCTTTTTTGACACTAATTCTATTTGAATTTAAAAGCACAGTTTAAATAGATTGCTAAAAGAACCAACTTACATGAAGATTTCATTATGAAAAGTAAATTTAACTATCAGTAGATACACCAATAAACAAAAGAGAAAGGTCCCTGTCCTTAGAGAGTTGATGGTTCCCAGAGCTGTGGGAGGTGAAAATCCGAAGTTGGAGAGGATGGCAGAGCGGGCGGCTGGGGGCCTGGGCCAGAGAGGTTACCCAGCTCACCTCAGTGGGGTAAAGGTAGACACTGACAAGGAAATGAATCAAGCCTGTGACTGCCTCAATATATTTGAAGCGCTCTGAAGCATTGTGACAATTTATGTTTTCTTGTTAGGGTATTTTAAATATTTAACAGAATCTGATATATTTATAATTCATGGCAATACTTAGAAGGCTTTAACGAAATTTGTAGTTGATGATTAAATGCCCAAGAGCAACTGATTTACAAAATTTTTAAGACTTCAAAAGTATAGAAAGACTTTGACAATAGCATGTAAAAATGGGCCTTGTAAAATGTTTGAGGTATAAGGGTGAAGTAGATAAACCAAATCTGTAAGTATGAATTGAAATGACTACCTAAGCTTGAGAGTAGTTAGGGAAATTTTAATCTGCCAAATTTATGAAAGAATAGTGTATTAATCTAAGAACAAGTGAAAAGGAAACCTCTTGATTTCAACAAAAAAATCCCTAGGTATTTAAATAAACTAAGATTTGTAATTTGGACTTAAAGGTTTAGGAAATACTTGGTTTTTAAATTTGTAACATGAAAAACCAAATATTGATTAAAACATAAATAACTATAAATATGCTTTTTCATGCTAAACACCCTCCCTCTCAGGCATTAAAAATCCAATTGACTTATTTATAAAACATCAGTTGTACGATGTATAAATCCTAGAAAGAAACAATCCCAGAATCTAAGAAATTCTGTGTGATGACTGAGTGGAACAAGATTGTCCTGAATTTTCTTAATTTTTTCTTTTCAATGAACAAGAAATCATCTGCATTCAATAATGCAAAATAAAATTTCATATAAAAAACCTCATTTTTTAGAAGCAAAGGAGGTCATCTACATCCGTCTCTGAAATTAAACACTTCTTCCCGACCCTCATACAAGTGTGTATGATTTCCATACAGCTGAGAAATTTAAAATACCTCAACTAATTCCCTTGAAATCACAGTTATGAATGCTTTTGCTTTTGTGTCCATATTAACTTTTTCAAAAGTTACAGATGCTTTTTATTCATGCTTATCATTCCATATGAATATACGCTCCTCAGAAATATTAATGCCCCAAACAACAAAGGTGCAGGCAGTTGGGAGCACAGGAGTCCATAGGTAAGACGCCACGTCGTGAGGACGTGGTAGAGCAGGCTGGGAAACCAACGATAACCGTCCAATTTGATGAAGCCCAAGGCAGAAGATAACAACTGGAAAAGCAACTTTCCTCTACTTTAATTACGTAGGTTGTACTTTCAATTTGAGATATAGACAAACTTGCATTTTAATGAACTTGTTTGAATTCTACCATGGGAAATTAACCTGGAGTCCACTAATCAAGTCATAAACCAAGACACACCCAGTAAAAACCCAAAGTATCTTTGGTGCTGAAAAGAAAGGAAACGGAATATTTGTGAATAAGAATTGTTCTTCACTGGCAGACTTCAGCTGAATCAACTGCCTGTGGGTTCCCTGAAAAATAAAGTGAAAATCTAGACTCCAGTAATGAAAAAACAAGCTCATGACTTCCACAAACTATGAAGAAATATATTCCAAATATTTATTTTTCTAAATTTAGAGATGAAATATAAAAGCAGTATTTTTAGGTTGTCCTTTAACTTTTATTTTTTAAAGCTCCTCTCTTCCCTTCTTTTTAAGCAATTAGGTATTAATGATAAGAAATTTGAGCACATGTGTGTGCCATTAACTGTTTTTCCTTGAGCTGGGCCAGCAGCCACCTCAGCTGTAGGTAGTTGAATGTGTCTCTTTTTTGTAACTCTATTTGAAAGTAGTAATTATATCAAACAGTAGGTAATGGCCTATGAAAGATTCATTTAAAAATAACAGATAAAAATATACTATTGCTTTTCATAAACATTACCTGAGTAGAAATAGTTTGGTTATGAATGACAAATTATGACACTAAATGAAAAAAAAACCCTCAAATATAAGCACATTTTGTTTAACCTAAAATACCTAAGCTATCATCTTTATTTTTCCCCTTCACTTTTATTTTATTTATTTATTTATTTATTTATTTATTTATTTATTTATTTATTTATTTATTTATTTATTTATTTATTTATTTTTGGTGAGGAAGATCAGCCCTGAGCTAACATCCATGTTAATCCTCCTCTTTTTGCTGAGGAAGACCAGCTCTGAGCTAACATCTATTGCCAATCCTCCTCTTTTTTTCCCCCAAAGCCCCAGTAGACAGTTGTATGCTACAGTTGCACATCCTTCTAGTTGTTGTATGTGGGACACTGCCTCAGCATGGCCTGAGAAGCGGTGCATCAGTGTGCGCCCGGGATCCAAACCCGGGCCACCAGTAGCGGAGCATGCGCACTTAACCGCTAAGCCACGGGGCCGGCCCCTCCCCTTCACTTTTAACAGGATGTACCCACTCAGCAACAGTGTGCATGCCAATGTTTTTAAGCTTCTTTGCTTTTTTATTTAGTTAAAATGTTAGTGTATTTTAAAGCTCTTTTGTCATAGAAGTTTAAACAATTATTTTAAAGAACTATGTTAGGACAATTTTGCACAAGGTCCTGAGGTTTTCTGGAGAATGAATATTCAAGTCAAAGAGTGTTATACATCAAAAGATATAACACCCTTTTCAAAAGAAAAGTGGTGCCAAAATTTAAATATGCATGTTTAGGTTTATCCTTTTTTACTAATCTATTAATCTCCTGTTATTATCAAGTGACAAGTCACAATAAGTGGTGAACCTATTTTAGGGATAGCCATGCGGGATGAGTGTAAATTAATGACTTTAAGAAAAAGTAAGTTAATTTTCTTCTAAGACATGAACTGCAAGGGAGGAAACAACAAAAGAAATAATCAAGGGTCATTTTGATTATTTTTAAAATATATGTTCTGGGGGCCGGCCCCATGGCCTAGCAGTTAAGTTCAGCGTGGACCTACACCACTTGTTGGCGGCCATGCTGTGGTGGCAACCCACATTTTTACCAGAGGAAGGCTGGCACAGATATTAGCTCAGGGTGAATCCTTCTCAAGCAAAAAGGCGAAGATTGGCAACAGATGTTAGCTCACAGCGAATCTTCCTCAGGAAAAAAAAAAATATATATCTATGGTTTGAATTTTCAACTGTGGAAAAAAAAGTCAAGAAAATACTGAAGTAAAAGTACAGTGGAACTCCAGAAAAACACAACTAAATGATTAAACAAATGGAGGTCAACCAAGAGGACAATATGAAAATGTGCCATGTTACCACCCACCAGCAACACAACTGAAAATGAGTCTTTAGTCTACTCTGTGGCAAAATCTCAGAGTAAATAATAATGATATTTCAGGAACTTGGTCATCAAATCTTAAATTCAAATTCCACCCCCATTACTTTTGACTTGTACACCCTTGGGAAAATCCCTTCACTTTGGTTTGCTCGTCTATAAAATGGAGCTAAAATCAAAACTTTCCTATTACAGAGCTCTCGCTCCTGACTGGTGGCCCGTCTCCTGTCCTCTTCATCCTCACCTCACCCGTCCCCTTCCTCTCAGCCTGAAGTATACTCCAGACTCTGCAATCTTGCAAGCACAGCCCTGGACCCTGTCCCCTCACCCAGCTTCTGCCTGCTGTGTGCTGCTTCTCTCCACCAAAGGCCCCACAAGAGGGTCTGTTATCCTCCAGGTCACCTGCTTATGCTGTCTAGCTACAGACCAACTGCTCTGTCCAAAGTACTTGGTAAAACCCACCACCAAATGCTTAGTTAGGAAATGAAACGGTTCCTGTTTTGGTCTCACCCTCCCTGAGCATTTTGAAGGACCTAGCACTACCAACCTTCCTGGCTGTTTATCTGCTTTCTTACCTTGACTTTCTAAAAATGACTCTTTCTTGGTTCTTTTTCCATTTCCCTGACATTGCTTTCCTAGTGACAATCCCTCATTCCTTTTTCTTTTTACCCTTAAGGTTCCATTCTTGGGCCTAGTCTTGAACTTGCAAAGTTTATAAAATTTTCATGGATGATCTAACACTCCACACCCACATTTTTTTTTAACTTTTAATTTTGAGACAATTGAAGAGTTACATGTACTTCTGAGGAATAATATAGAGAGCTCCCAAATATCCTTCCCAATAGTAACATCTTACAAAACTACAGTAGAATATCACCATCAGGAAATTGACATTGACACAATTCATCAATATTCAGAGTTCACTAGTTTTACATGCACTCATTTGTGTGTGTGTGCGCGCGCGTGTGCTTGGTTCTACGCAATTATTTCACATGCATAGATGACACACCCACATTTGACTCACATTCCAAGGCCCAGAGATGGGCTCTTGTCATTTTGGGGAGGAGGCAGGTTGAGGAGGACATACAGCAGCCCCTAAGTTCTGACAATATCCACATACTCTAAAATGGACCCTCTGCTATGAATGGAGCAATCCTCAAACTGAGGCATGTAAATTCCCATCTCTCTCATCATGATGCTTTCCTGGTCTGGAATCTCTATCAACCTCTTTCAAAGTCCACCCATCCTTCTAAGTCTGGCTTAAGTCCTTCTCCACGGGAAGCCCCCACGGTGCTACCAGTCCACAAATGCGTCCTTCTATATTAATCCTGCCTTTCCCATTAGATGTAAAGCTCCTTGGGGATAGAAAATGAGCCTTTGTTGTGGGTCCAATGGATCTGAGACATATAGGTCCTCAATAATACAAAATTTACCTAAGATGGGAAAAGAGAGAGGAGAAGAAACACAGAAAAAAGGAAGAAACAAGGACGGAGAATTTGCTATCACAGAGGACTCTAGAAACCAGGATTTCAACCAGGATTTTTTTTTTTTTTTTTTGGTGAGGAAGACCAGCCCTGAGCTAACATCTATTGCCAGTCCTCCTCCTTTTTCTCCCCAAAGCCCCAGTAGATAGTTGTATGTCATAGTTGCACATCCTGCTAGTTGCTATATGTGGGACACCACCTCAGCATGGCTGGACAAGTGGTGCGTTGTTGCACCCCCGGGATCCGAACTCGGGCTGCCAATAGCGGAGCACGCGCACTTAAACGCTAAGCCTCAGGGCTGGACCCTCAACAACCAGGTTTTTAAAAAATAACAGCAATCATGGACAAAAGGCTACAATCTTTCCTTTTCTTGCCCATAAGAATGACTATTCTGAAGAATCTCACCCTCTTCAACAGTAAGCAGGTTTCCCAATTCTGCTGATGAATGATATTGGACTGGCTCAGAATTCTTCACGTTTGCCAGTGGCAGGAAGGGGTCGTAATCCGTGGATGACAGGTCAGCCAGGGTCAATGTGTAGTGACTCTGTTGGGTATATGTGCTCGAGCCACAAACACAGCAGTGCAGAACCTGTGAAAAAAAGATGGGAATGTGTGCCATGGATGCCACTAACCTCCTGTCCCCTGACAATCTGTGAAAACTACAACAGCATGTAGGAGGCAGGACACCTCTTTGGTAATACTTGCAAACACAGAATTCTTTCCATTTCCAAAATATCTTCTTGCTATTAACAAGTTAATTTTGCTCCTTTCATATCAATGCCAATAAATATATTCTCAAGGCAAAAGGAAAGTAAAAGTAAAAAAGTGCTTACTGAGCCATTCTGTGTGGTTGCACACACCTAAATCCTGCTCCAGTCCACCAGAGGCAACACAAGTAGAAAGAACCAACCCAGGAGATGAAGAGTAGCTGTGGATGAGCCCCAGGATAGCCAACCTCCACCCATGGTGGAGGGTAGCATGAAAGCAGTCAGCAGAGACCATTAGTGTACTTTATAACCATTTATGAATCTGAATTAATGTGACTCATGATTTGGAAGGGATAATATAACTTTTAAAAGTATGATTAATGAAACTAAATTTAATACAAATTTTTAAAGTTTTCTTATTTTCACAAGATTAGTGTCCTAAAAGCTCACTGGTTATTTACAAATTGCAGTTGACTTAAAGCTCTATCTACTCCTGTTTGTGCTTTTGTGCACATACAAGACATGCATACACAAATCATCTTGAGTATGCCAAAATGTATAAAGGAGCTAATAACCGTACTAAATTTTACTTTTTAATCATAAATTCAAAAAAAATGATTTTTATGAAAATCAAGGTAATACTTTAGAAGCTAAGGAAACATCTTTAGGTTAAATATATTTATACAAAGTAAATTCACTTATAGATGACTGGCTTTGATTTGCCCACGTGGCAGGAGCTCTCGTGGTCAAGTTGGACATCTTCTGATTTAGTTCCTTCTACTTGTGTTGCCTCTTAGGGAGTGGAAGAGGATTTAGATGTGTGCAACCTTTGGACACGGCTAAAAAGGACCAAGAGTTGTAGCCAGCAGAGGACAGCTGTATATGTCTTCTTCCAAGCAAAAAAGTAGTATAGGAAAATCCTTCTTATTAACTGGTAGCTTTCTTATTAACATAAAAATTGAGCTTCTGTCATTGACAGAATTAATTTCTATTAGTCAAATGCAATAAATATAAGAAATGCAAATTAAAACCACAATGCCACTGCATACCTATCAGATAGCAAAGTGTTAGCAAGAATATAAAGCAGTTGCAATTCTCAGACACTGTTGGTGACAGTGTAAATTAGCACAACCACTCTGGAAAATTATTTACTGTTCACTACTAAAGCAAAACACATGTATTCCAGCAACTCCTCTCCTAGGTATACACCCAACAGAAATGCATACATATGGGACCAAAAAACACACTAAAATGGAATGTTTACAGAATTTTTTTTATGGTCCCAAACTCTAAACTACCCAATGTCCATCAACAGAATACATAAATAAATCATGGCTTATTCTCACTGTGTAATACTCAATAGCAATGACAGTGAAAAATCTACAACTATTCACAACAGTATGAATGAATCCCTCAAAAATAACGTTGTGAAAGACGTCACACACAAAAGCACGTGCTGTATAATTCTTTCCATACAACCTTCAAAAACAGGCAAAACAAATCTTTACTGTCAGACAGGATAGGGGTTACCCTGGGTACGTGTACGGGGGTAGTGACTAGGAGGAGGCACAATGGGGGATGCGGGGATGCTAGGAATGTTCTGTTTCTAGAGCTGGGATCTGGTTTTACAGGTGTGCTCACTTTGCAGAAATTCATCAAGCTTTCACTTAAGACATGCAGTTTTCTGGATGCATATTATATTTCAATAAAAAGTTTCCTTTAAAAATGCAATAAACAGTTATTCAATAAATTTATGAATCCTGTTAACTATGAGGTAACTTATATTGGTAAAGCAATTTTAAGAGAAATCTTGATTGTGGCTACTTTAGTTGGTTAAGCCAAGCCTTACGTAGGTTTATAAGCCACAAGGATGACAGAAGTATCTAATTAATCCTAACATAGTTATTAAATCTTTGACCACTGAAGAAACCATTTAAAAATACACAATACTTTTTAGTAGAATTTTAACCAGACTTAAGTGGGTTTTTTTCCTTATTTAATATATTTTAAAATAAAGCAACAAAGTAATTAGTTAATGACTTGGAATCTTTTTTTTACTATTATTAAAGGTTTATTACTAAAAAAATAAACAACAGAATTGTCTCTATGTAATAGTAATTATTCAGTGAACAGACAAATGCTAAATAGATAGATAAATAATGACTTAATCAGGCTTTCACAGGAGTGAATGACTGTAAGGCTGATAGGGAAGGACAGAATAAAGGGTCCAAAGCAAACACCACACCTAGTCACCAGGAAGGGCTGAAATCCGAATAATTTAAGTACTATAAAAATGATGAGGCTAATCACTTTCATGTGATATATTTTCTTAATTTATTTCTTAAGATCTGTTAAAGCAAAGAGATTACTGGAACCACTATAGTTTTTTCTTCCTTGGATAAACAGATTTTGTCAAACAAGGCTCTGGATATTCCTATAATATAAACAGTTCTTTTTTAAATGACCATGGTTTTTAAAAAGACCATGTTACGTGAAAATTGGGGGATTCTGATCAAACTACAGTTTTTCTAAAGATGATAGTCATGTAAAAATGCATGCATCTTGCACTTAACCATTGCTTCTCTACAACTATATCTGTTCTGTTTTCACTTCTTAAGTTATTCATTTCTTTAAAAATGCTTAAACCTCCATAAATCCGTTTCAAAAGGGCACAGATAAATATGTAAATGCACAAAACGTACTTTAGTAGTTCTCTGATACGTCAGTCCAAACTATACCCCTGAGGCCCAGCTGGAGACTCACCCTGTAGATATAATCCAGCAAAGGGGCTCTGGCCAAGTGCTGCTCCTCCAGGGCCGCTGTGGACACTGGGTGGAGAAGGGAGTTCACAGGCAATGCCATGCACCAGTCCAAGAGGCAGAGCAGCAAGGACACAATAAACTGGAAGAGGAAACAGGCCCAGTACCATATACTGTAGTCTCTTAAACTTCGCTACACGTAATAACAAACAACAGGAGAACAGAACTGTCCCTGCATAAAAGTAATTATTCAGTGGACACACAAATGCAAAAGGAATGAATGAATAAACAAAATTTTCACAGGAGAGACTGTTAGGGCCAAGAGAAAGATATTATAAGGGATATCCCTACATGTAATATCATTTATCATTCTGTCTTACATTTTTAAAAACAAACTCTACACAAAACTTAGCTAATGCGCCACCTACCTTCTTATCTGTTTCCACTGAGGAGTACTCTGCACTTGGTAAAAGAAAAGCAATTGTGGCCACAAGGATCTGCATAAAAGACAAATCCCCAGTCAAACACATCATAGGAATACTTTTAGAAGCCATATGATAAGAGTCCCAAGATGGCCTTACAACTAAACTCTGTTTGGTGCCAACTCACTAGAGGAAGGTGACAAAAAGTAAAGACAGTTTAGAGATATGTGTGACCTTGAAAATCGGGGAAGGCAGTGGGGCCTTGCCCAGTTTCTATTCTATTTTACTGGTGGCGAAATTGGGGACCCCAGAGAAAGGAATATTTCTGTAGTCACACAATTTCCATCATCGGTCTCTACACCTTGCATAATGAAAGCAAAAAATATTTTCAAAAATAATTATGAAAATGCTCCCATTTAATTTTCTTATAAATACCCAGTCTCCTCCTGCTGTCCTCGTGTAACAGCACCCCTTTCATTCTCAAAGGTATTATTCCTGTTTAGAAGATACATTATATGGTTGCCCTAAAACCCAACTTTACATTTTGCAGCATCTGATATTCCTATGTCCAAAGCTCTATTTCACTCTAGGTCATGTAAGGTCGAAAATCACTTGTGATTTTTGATGTATCTCTGAGAGAACAAAGTGATCTCATTGGTGAAACTTGTCTAGCGCTGAGAGAAAAGAACTCAATACCTCTTCTTCTCTCTCCCTGTAATATCACATGGAGACAAATCAAATTTCCTTGAAGAGTTACCACTGGATGTGTAAAGAACAGGGCATATTTTAAAAAGTGCAGCAATACCAACTGGCAGGAATGGATGTGCCTCACCACCAGGCACCTACAGGGTGAGGGTCCCTGCTCCTGTATAAGCAGAGCATCCTCAAATGTAACCGACCTCCAGGACATTATCCTTGAGATGATTCTTCCTGTTCCTTCTGTCCCTCTCCTCTACCAATTATCCCACAGAGGGCATTACAATAGTAATCTCATTATAGCTGAGTAATCATGGGATGGCAGAAAGTGTGGTCCGGGGCTTCAGTTTGGGAGAGACTCCTGTTGTACACAACAGTCCCCTATCCCCACCCCCACATGGAGGGCATCATAACCAGCTGCCTACTTTCTTGTTGGCACCATCCAAATTACTCTTGATGAATGAAGCCCAATCTACAAAAGGTCTCTTTGTTGTGGTCGTGTCTGCCTTTCAAACTCCCCAAGTGTAAGACTCTGCCCTGAAACACTGGTGACTTCTTTAACTCGTGCTTGAAATCACAGCTGAGAAGAACCAGTGCAATTTAATCTTAAAATGAATGACTCACATGGCAATTTAGTAGTCAGTTCTCTAACAATTATTTGAGTATCTATTATTAATTAAATACCAAATATAATAAAAAGGAAATGCTTATGTTTTAGCATTACAAGAAAAAGACTTACTTCTGCAATTTTCCGAGGCAGAGAGGTTTCAAACATCTGAAGCTTTTCCCAGTAGGAAACCAGCAACTGAAGAACATCACAGGCTACCTGAGCCACGATTTTGTTAGGAAACTATAAAAGGAAACAAAACCCCAAACTAAATAACCCAACTTAACATGCACATTATTCCTAAGGAAGAACAAAATAGTTATTTCTTTCTAGCTCCATAGAGGGATACACTTCCTTGTTTTGCATTAAATTTATGAAAAATTTGTCCTATTACCAGATAGTTTATACATAACTCCCACTCTGTAACTGCCTCTTGTCTAGACTAGCTGTATTACAGCTAATGTTACATAACATTCTATAGAAATAAGCAGCTGTCATTTAACCATTTGGAAATTAAAACCATAATTTCAAATGCCTCATTCAGATCATATAAATCATAGTTTTGACAATAAGAGGAAATTAAAATGTAGCACATTATTGAGTATCCTGTGTGCTGAACCTTTAACAAGGATTTTTACTCATTTTCACATTGATCACTCTTAATTAACAGCTCTGCAAAGGAGATGGTAACTTCATTTTACACATGGAGAAACAGGGATCGATCAAACGACTTTCTATCCTATGAAGTTAAACTTAACCCATATGTATAATACTAAGAAATGTGAAAAATTGGGGATTAGGAGAACGTAATTCACAAATTATGGTATACACTGGTGTGTCACACATCGATGTTTTGGTCAATGACAGACCGAGTATAAAACAGAGGTCCCATAAGATTAGTACCATACGGCCTGGGTGTATAGTAGGCTATACCATCCAGGTTTGTGAAGTACACTCTATGATGTTCCTACAATGATGAAATCGCCTAACAACACCTTTCTCAGAATGTCTCCCCATCGTTAAGCAACACACGACTGTATTCAATTACTCTGAGCATGTTTTCTGAGTCTGGCACGTGTCTAAGATCCTCTGGAGATGCTTCCATTTCTTGTGAGATAGCATGTCAAAGGGGCAGTACCTGCAAGGACCGTTGGCTGGGGGTGCATGAGAGGGATGAGGGCACCCTGTGCTTCTCTCTCTGGCCAGAAGCTACCCTGCTATCCATATCTCATTATCCAGAGCAGAGAGGTTTGTCACTGCTTCTGTATCTTTGTCTAGGGAAACCTCAGATATGTAGCTTAGGTATTTCTACACCAAACTCCAAGTCACATGAAGCAGACACACCAGCTGACATGAGCACCACATAAACAACACAGAAAAGTCAACATTTAGCATCTCAGTGACAAATGCACAGGATAAGGAAGAACGTAAGTGAAAGGTGATCAATTTTTTAATTCTACAGAATAAACAGTTACTGCCTCTCTGACAGGCACAAGGTCAACCTAGGGCGAGAACATCTGCACTCAAGGGGCTCTTCACAGCCTCCTCTGGCCATCCAGGCTCCAGATGACCTGATCCTCACAGGCCTCTTTTCATCCCTCAACATTCTAGCTTGTTTCTGCCCCAGGACCTTTGTAATTGCTCCCTGCTTTGCCTGGGACTCATTCCCCAGGACTGCGTATGGCCAGTGCTGCCATATCTTTTAAATCATAGCACTAAATGTCCATGCCACCATGGCCACCATGCCCATCCAAAGGAGTGGTGGCCCACCACTGCAGCTCTTCAGCTTCATCTAGGTCCCCTGTAATCGTTTCTTTACGGCATTAAAGGCTATCAGAGCTGATCTTTTGTATTTGTCTGGCTGCCCTTTTGTGTGTTTATCTTCCTGCGTCTTGTTCACCATTGTATTCCTAATGCCTAGCACAGCCCCCGGAGCGACAACGTATGGTGTGTTTGAGATAAGGATGGAACATGGCAGGAGTGGAAGAATATGAGCGGGCACTGGGTGTGTTTCTGCTCCATCAGAGTGGTCAGGTCATGGTCAAGTGATAGAAACATAAGGCTGGCATGGCTCTTAACCTCTGGAAGCTGGAAATAGACAAGAGAACAATGATGAAATGAAAGCCTTGACAGACAAGACAAAAGGGCTATGGACAGAAAGGGGTGACATGTGAGACAGAGGGGGCAGACAGCAGAGAGAAGGCATCGAGGAGGGAGGGGAGAGCTTGGCTGTCTGGAGGAATGCAGAGGCAAAGTCTTTCCTTTCAGGCAGTGGGCAGCAGGGCAAGGCGCTGAGGCAAGAAAGGTGGGTGTGAAGGGCCACAAGTGGGGTGGTATTACTGACACCTGAGTGCTGTGGGGAATGGCAGGATGAAATAAATCATTCATTCACTCATCTGGCACAAATTCACGGACACACATTCAATGTGCCAGCACTGAACTGAAAGCACAGGGCACAAGATAAACAGGACAGATACAGTCCCTACACTGAAGGACAGATCCCTCTGGTGGCAGTATGGAGGACAGATCTATGGGGGTTGGACTAGGGCCATGGAGGGGGGAGATGCCAGGAGGCTCAGTTACTGGCAGAGGGAGCCAGCCCAGGTGAGGGATGGCCCTGGGACAGCAGGACTCTGTGACTGGAGAGGGTGGTGGGGTCAATGATGTCTCCTAAGACAGGGTAAGAGAAGGAGCAGCAGGTGGGGCTGAGGGCGGGGGCTCAGGTTGGGCTTCCTCTCACTGGGGCGCCTGGGAGGCAGGGTCGGGAAGCTCACCTGAGCCTGAGCCCCTGCTGTCACTCTAGTGCCCTCAGCCCAAGTCCTCCTCCTCAATGGGGTGCCTAAGTCTATAAGTCTGGCTCCAGCTTGGAACAACCTCCCCACTCCCGCTGCCAACAGGCTACCCCACCAGAACCAACAACTAGCCCAGCGGAATTCTCCAGGCGGCTGTGCAGCAGCACTGTTCCTATTCACTGCTGTGGCTGCAGGCTGGTTTTCATCTATACCCCTTGGGGTACATTTCTTTAGCCCATGCTAACCATGCCCTTCCCACCTCTGAGGGAATGAATACCTGGGCCAACGTTGCTGAGTGTTTCTGAAGGACATGGTTACAGCAGAGCAGTGCCCGGAGCTGTGAGGAGCTCATAGGGGAGGAACTCTTCCAGGGCTCAAGCCGCCAGTTGCCTGCCCCGCCTCCTCCTCCTCTCCCTCCATCTCTCCCCTTCCCAGCAGAGCCCCAAGGGTCCCTGAGGCTCCTCTTCTCAGAGTGGCTGCTGTCCCCTTCATCCTTGTGGCAACTCTTTCCCATCTTGTCCCTGGTTCTCTTGGATTTATGTCCTATGTCCTTCAGTAGAAGAACCCAAGTGGCACAGCAACACAGGCATCAGAGGGAGGAGGAGAGGGTGCTGCCTCAGGGACTAGGACTTCCGTCACGAGTTTTCTTGTCTTATTCATAATGGTTAAAGGGAGACTGATGTGGCTGATCCTGGCCCTCTGATTTCTTAGCAGTTCAAGCTGGAGCAAGTTTCTTGGCCTCCCTCAGTGGCCTTCTCCTTTATCTCTACAATGGGGAGAGCAGCAGCACCTCCCAGGAGTGGAGCGATTCAATGGGACAGTCCACGCACGGTGTGGGACACCCCTGAGGGCAAGGGCTCAATACATGGCAGTTACATTTTTCTGGTGCCTTACATTTTTCCTCATAATTACAGAAAAATTACAAAAACTTCTGAAAATTTGTGCAAATACGAAGAAAAAAGTAAGCCATCTTCTATCCTTCTACTCTTGTTTCAAAGTCCCCCTCTCTTCTATACTACATAGAACCATATATACGGAAGGATAGATATATATATATGTATACCTATATATCTCCTTCATTCTACGATACCGTTAAATTACTAACAGCTTTTCTAGGAAACAGGTAGAGGTGGAGGAACCACATTACATTAAATATACATTTCTAGATTTAAGAAAAATTAAAATTTGAAAAACATCTTAGAATTGAGAAAATAGCATATTAAAAAATGAATTAGAATCTACACAGATATACAATTGATATCTAACTTTTTTCACTTTAGTAATTATATGTGAATATTTTTCCATGGCGTTGGGAGTTAGGGGGAGTGTCTTGCAGACCACAGTTGTGCAAAAGTCCAAACGTGGGGCCAGAGCATCCTGGGTTTGACCCTGGCAAGCTCCTTAGTTCCCAATCAGCTCATTTTCCTCATCTGTGAAGTGAAGGTGGCAGTAACCCTTCACCTCATAGGGTGGGTCTAAGGATTAAACACAACAACAAAGGTCAGAGGTCGGCACCACACTCAGGCCAGAGGGAGCACCCCTAAGTGACATCTCGGTTTGATCAATTTTCCATTCCTCACCACAGGGATCAGCAAGAGCTTTTCCAGCTCTCACGATATAACCAGCACCCCCAGGTGTTGTGGAGGAGGAAAGGGGGAAGGTAGGGTGACAGAGGGGGTGGCCAGAGGGCACACTTAGGGACTAGGAGGCCTCGAGTTTGGCCAGGAGGAGGGGTGGGTGAAGAGGGCTGCCACGAAATCAGGCTACAAAGGCAGGCAGGGGCCAGATGCCAAGCCATGGTCAGGGGACGCCCCTGGCTGGTTATCCTGTGGGTTGAAGCAGATAATGCACAAAGGGTGGCATAGGGGCTTTTGCTGGCCTGGTGACGACTGTCCAAAGCATCAGCTGCAATGGCCTTTACTATTATAGCAGCATGTGGCAGGCAGCAGAGAAGGGCAGGCCAGAGCCTGGAACAAGCTCCTTAAATCTCCTGCACCTTGGTTCCTCCACTGTAAAATGCGGAACTTACTTTGCGAGTGAGAACTTCCACAAAGCATCAGCACAGTGCCTGGCAGGTTCTGAAGGTGTAACAACAGCAATGCTAACTACTACCACCCCTTCTGAGAAGAAGCCAGGAAAGGACCCAGCAGATCTGAGCTCTGGTTTAGGAAGCGGCCTAACTGCACATACAGAAGTTCAGTTGTGTCTTTCCTGTCACATAGCTCTGCTCTCAGTGCTGATTCCATCACTTACACCTGCACGGCCGTGGGCTCGCGACCTGATTTTTCTGGGCTTTGCTTTCCTCTGACGTGTCACAGGGACTGTGAGATCTACTCTGCAGAGCTGTCGTGAAGGTTAACACAAGCATTTAGAGAATTTCCATGAATCTGGCCCAGCGTGAGTGCCCAGAAAATGGCAGCTCTTCTTCCCATTAACAAAGGAAAAAAGATGTCCTAAAAGTACCCAAGGCCCAGCTGGACGGTGAGCACTTAGGGCTGCTAACCGGGACTGTCAGGTCTTTCTCAGTCCTGCTGAAGAGGCCAGGGCATGAAATCTCACTTTCTTGTCACTCCCACCAGCAGGTGACAGGGATCTTGCTTGCCACAGGAGCTACCCAGTCACCAGAGGAACCCCATTTGGCCACTGGGTTTGGTCCAGGAACACTCAGGCTATGGACAGCGGGTTGCGGCTGCCAGTGGGGAAGCAGCCATTGGTGGCCTCTCCTGGGAACCTCACAACACATTCAACACATTCTCAGAAAAAGAACTTTTGAATCTCAACCTCTCTGTAATGTAGGGGGAAATACAGATGAGGCTAATTCAGACTAAAAATGGGCTATAGCTTAATGTCAACTACACATCACAAACTGGTGATACCTTCAAAGTGACACCTATCACATTGACGGCGGCTTTCAGCTGAGGATGGCTTGTACACTGTGCAAGTTCTTCACATATCCAGACTCCGAGGGAGCAAATGGCAATGCATCTTTTGAAAGAGAAGGAAAAGGAGGAAAACACTCTTGAAATTTAATGTATTTTTCTGGTTTTTTCAAAAGACAAAATATTTTAAATCTTTTTATTCAAAGTAGCAAAAATTATAGATACATTAACAGAATGTCTGCTTGAGAGAAAAGATGAGATACTCTCAATAGGCCTGTTTTCAGGACAAATAGAAATATTGATAATGGTCAGTATGTAAATATTTAATGAAATAAACAGTATGTTTTCTGTTAATTGTCACAGCCCATATATCAGTTATTTTTGCTGAAACTAATTTTTACTATATTTTATTGCTTCAAGATATTTCTGAAGAAGAATGAAAAATGTGAGTCTTAGAAGATTGTTAGAAGTTGAGTTTGTAATTGTTTTCCTTACAATAAAATACACAATACCATAAACAGAAGACGAATCCTGTATTTTATTGTAAAGAATATCTGAATACAACTTTCAAAATAAATTTCAGTTATTTCTTTTAAACTATGTGTTAAGAAAAAATATTCTTTAAGTTCCACAGTCCTTTAAAGATTATCTTTCTTAATTATCAATCAATTTTTAAATCAATCAATTTAAATACTCTTTGAAATTGATATACTCCACTATCTTTTGCAATGATCAAAAAATCACATTCCTGTTAATTTTTTCTGAATGCTCATATATAAAATTAAAATACTTGCTCCCAAACTTGCTCACTTTCAGAACAAAAAGGGGATTCAAACCACTCCCTGGAACCAGACATTAGCTGTAATATGTACGTGTTGTTCTTTGTAATAAGAGGTTACACCCAACGCCAATCAAACCAGACACACTGTTCAGCTCTCCAGACTGAAAAGTTCCTTTGTATTCGATATAATTCAGCAATTAAAATCAATATATTTTGAGGTTTTAAAACCACCATATTTCACTGGATTCTCACCTCTTTCAATTAAGATTGACGAAGCACTTCATAACAAGTTTATTTAAATAAACTAAAAATCCTTTGGAGACCATGCCACCGTCCACCAAAATTCACTCAGTAAAAGCAGTGCAACGTAGTTTACAAGGTGTGCCAGGCCTTTTTGTTTCTCCAGTGCCAGCATGGAGTTCCACACAATTCTAACCCTCGACTTTCCTCACTGTGTAGAACTGTCTACATTTATCTCTCTTGCCTAATTCCTACTCTTATTCCCAATCTAGAAATTACACTTTGCATTCTTATTTTTGCAGTCATTCCCACATATTTTATATTCTTTCAAAAAGCCTCTTTAGGGGCGGGCCCCGTGGCTTAGCAGTTAAGTGTGCGCGCTCCGCTGCTGGTGGCCCGGGTTCGGATCCCGGGCACGCACCGACGCACCACTTCTCTGGCCATGCTGAGGCCGCGTCCCATATACAGCAACTAGAAGGATGTGCAACTACGACATACAACTATCTACTGGGGCTTTGGGGAAAAAAAGGAGGAGAATTGGCAATAGAAGTTAGCTCAGAGCAGGTCTTCCTCAGCAAAAAGAGGAGGATTAGCATGGATGTTAGCTCAGGGTTGATCTTCCTCACAAAAAAAAAAAAAAGCCTCTTTATTTTCCCTCAGCTTAACTCAGACTGACTGTTCAACCCACAAAATCTACACAACTTGGAATTATATCCAAAATCATATTTTCACCATTTTAAGAATATACACATATGCACATATTTTTTTTTTACGACCCATTAACCTATTTGTTAAATGTAATTTGTTAAGAGCAAATCTCTCTCATTTCTAGGAACACCTGCATTACTCTGTAACTATTAGCCTCGCACTACGGAGAACATTTGTGACTCATAAAATGGTTTTATAATCTAAACCACTCTCACCTGCCTTAAGATTTAAGCCACATTAGCTTATAAACAGCTCCTCCATTCTATTTTCTCTCTTTGAAATTTATCATTTGACATTCTATTTAGTATCTTCCCCTTCTAATACTTTGTTACTCCTCATGTCTAGGAATTCCTGTATCCCAAATATGTCCTTTGTGATCCCAAATGAGTTTTACCTACCAAGACTCTTTTCAGCTAATGGCAATACTACCTTCACTCTCATTCCATATTCCAACACTCTCTCTTGATACTATTTGTTATTATCTCATACCACTCCAATTTATATAACAAAAACTTGTCATTTTTTCTTAATTTTTCTAAATTATCACTCACAATTATAACTATATTCTCTCTTAATTCTCCATTTATTTGCAATATTGATCACATTTTAGTCTGCTTATGTACATTTACATGACCTTAATTTCACTGTCCAACTCCTCTTATATACAACTAAGGAAGACTGACAATATCATACATATTTCTATTCCATTTTTAACTCCATAGAAATTCGGCTTTCTACACCAAAGAAAAAGGGGGAAAAAGTATTGTCAAGATTTGTTGAAGTTTTGAATGTGGTGGGTCTGGGAAAAATGGATTTTCCCCAAGTTTCTGGATTGAAAATCTGGGTAGATAATGGAGCCATTTACTGAGATGAAGTCTGAAGGAAAGTCAGGGTCCGGGGCAGACAGCAGACTCAAGGGTTCAGTTATGGTTGTGTTAAGCTTGGATGTATTAAGACATCCAAGTTGAGATGTCCAGTAGGCAGTTTAATATATAAGCCTGAATATATAAGGGGTTCACAGAAGGGTCTACATAAATAAATTCAGCATCATCGGTAAGTAAGCGGTATTTAAAGTCTGGTTAGAATAAGAGCATATAGGAAAGTCATGGAGAGAGACGAGGACCAGCCCTAAACTCTGAGTCACTTTAACATTCCAAGGTTAGGCAGAGGGAGACAGGAAAGAAGCAGCTGTAGTGATATAGGAGCACAATCAGATTATGTTCTAAGGAATTAGCATTATTCAGGAAGAGGGTAAAGACAGACTAACTTCAGAATTAGTAAGATAAGAATGCATATTAAAATTTCTAAGGTAACCTCTAAAAGAACTGAAAGACAGTCTATGAATTCAAAAAAACAGAGATAATAAATGGAATGCAGAAAATATAATTAACCTGAAAGGAAAGAAGGAAGGAAGGAATGAAAAAAAGAAAGAAAGAAAAGGAGATGGAAAAAAACAAAGGCAAGAAACAGGAGAAAATGAAAGAAGTATTGAGAAGGACCAATAACAAAGTATAAAATAAGATGAAAGAAATACATCAGGGGCCGGCCTGGTGGCACAAGTGGTTAAGTGCGCGCGTTCCCCTGGGGCAGCCCGGGGTTTGCCAGTTCGGATCCCAGGCACGCACCGACGCACTGCTTGGCAAGCCATGCTGTGGCGGCATCCCATATAAAGTGGAGGAAGATGGGCACGGATGTTAGCCTAGCGCCAGTCTTCCTCAGCAAAAAAAGAGGAGGATTGGCAGATGTTAGCACAGGGCTGATCTCCTCACACACACACAAAAAAGAAATACATCCAAATATATCAGTAATTACAATAAATGTAAATGAACTAAAGCTTTAGTTAAAAGATAAAGATCAGACAGGATAAACGTATGAAGTACTTATGTACAGTTTTTGCAAAGACATTTAAAGAGAAGAATATAAAAAGGTTAAATTTTAAAAGACAGAAAACATTATCAAAAATAGCTGAATCAGTATCAGACAAGTGGTCTTTAAGATAAAAAATCATTCTTAGAGATAAAGAGTGTCACTACATAAATAAAAAAGATTTGATTCACTATAGAGATATGATAATTCTAAATTTCTATGCAGCTAATAACATAGCTTCAAAACATATAAGACAAAATCGACAGATATACAAAGAGAAATAGATAAAGGTACCATAATAGTAGGAGATTTTAACATACCTCACTCAGTAAATGATCAAGATGATGAAAAAAATTAGAAAGGATATGAAATATTTAAAGCACATGATTAAAAAAATTAATCTAATGGGCACATCTAGAACGCTGCACTCAACAATTGAAGAACAGTGTATACATTCTTTTCAAACACATATGAGACATTTGCAAAAACTGTCCACATATTGGGTCATAAAGCAAATCTCAACAATTTCAAAGACTGTTATAAGTCAGACAACATTTGTGATCCAAAATGCAATTAACTAACACATCAGTAGCAAAAAAAAAAATAGAAATCTATGTTTAGAAATTAAGCAATAGATTTCTAAATAAATTGTGACTCAATGAAGGAATCATAATGGACAATGGAAAAAAATTGTAATGGAAAAATGTTACATATCAAAACTTACAGAACTCAGATAAACTAGCACCTTGAAATAAACATGTAGACTTAAAAGTTTATATTTGTAAAGGAGAAAGGCTGAGAATTAATACACTAAGTATACAAGTTAAAAAGTAAGAAAAGGAATAATGGAATATAAAGAAAGTAAAGACCCTAAAAAGAGCAGAAAGTAGGAAATAAAAACAAATATAGAATAGAGAGGTTGAACAAAGACAAAAGTTTATTCTTTGAAAAGACTAATAAAGTTGACAAATCTTTGGCAAGACTAGTGAGAAAAATCAGAGAATATACGAAAAGTGTCAGAGAGTAAAAAGGGCATATAGCTATAGAAGTGAAAGAGACAAAAGACAGTGAGAGGATAATGGAGACATCATGTATGCCAGTATATTTCAAAACTTAGATAGAATGGACAAACTTCTAGAAAATTTTAGTTTATCTAAACTGTCAAAAAAAAAAAAAGAAAACCTCAATATTCCTAAAATCATTGAAGAAAATAGTCAGTAGTTAACCTTCTCATAAAGAAAATACCAGACCTAGATAGTTTTACCATCAACGTCTACTAAATACACAAGAACTTTAACTCTAATTTTACAAAAACTCTTGCTGACTGAAGAGAATGAAATAGTAGTTCACTCATTTTGTGAGACTATATCACCTTGCAATCAAGCCTGATAAGGAAAGGATGGGAAAAGAAAATTACAGGCCATGAATATGCATTTATATGCAACTTTCCTGAACAAAATGTTAGGCAAATCAGATCCAGTACTGTATAAACAAAACTGGGTTTATCCCAAAATGCAAAGTTACTGTAAGGTTAGCAAACTGACAATGAATTTATAGCTTCTGGTAATGGCAGACTAGAAAATTTGGACTAAACCATCCATTGAAGATAAGTGAAGAAGTTAGACAAAATAAAAAAGAAAGAACCCCTTAAAATCATCAAAGACCTAACAAGACAGTGATGAGTGATGGGCTGCTAAACCGGAATGAGCCTAGACAGGGAGCAGGGCACGAGCCAATTCCCAGAAGGCAGCAGGAGGCTGAGTTGGGGCTTCTGGTGACCTCATGGGTTTGGAGGTTGAGGATCAGAAACTAGTATTCCCTTCCACCAGTGCTCCCAGCTTTGGGCTTTACCTTGGGAGGAGAGGTAGAAACTTTTCATCATGTAGTTGACCCAATGGTGGTCTAGCGGTTAAGATTTGGCGCTCTCACCTCCACAGCCCAGATTTGTTTCCTGCTCAGGGAACCACACCACCTATCTGTTAGTTGTCATACTGTGGTGGCTACATGTTGCTGTGATGCTGAAGGCTATGCCACCTGTATTTCAAATACCAGCAGGGTCACCCATGGTGGATAGTTTTCAGCGGAGCTTCTAGACTAAGACAGACTAGGAAGAAAGACCTGGCCACCCACTTCTGAAAACAGCAGTGGAGCATTGTCTGATACAATGCCGGAAGGTGAGAGGATGACACAAAAAGACCGGGCAGGGTTCTGCTCTGCTGTACACAGGGTCGCTAGGAGTTGGAATTGACTCAATGGAACTAACAATAAAAGGTGGCCCAGAAAACCTCATATCTTGGTCACAGACTGCTAGCAACCTCAGATGCCTGGCAGAAGCAACCAAAATGTTTCCAAACATTGCCAAATGCCTCCTGGGGTACAAAAATCACCTCTGATTGAGAATCACTGCCCTATACATACACCACTTTTATAAGTTTTTGGTTTATCCTTCTATTTTCTTCCTTATTAAAAGTATCAGGGAATACATGTAAATAGTTGTAATCTTGCTTTTTCTTACATAAAAGATAGCATACTACTTAAAATCTTCTGCATCTCACTGCATTTACTTAACAATGGCACCTTTTAAAAAAATAAAGTACAGCATTTTCCCAACATAATTCTTATTATACTTTTCAGTGTTTGTAAAGTGGAAGAATAAGTGTTTTTAACATTAACTATTCACACATAAGTGTGTGTCTTAAAATTCTTTAGAATTTTACCTTGTATTCAACATTTACCTTGCACATTCATTTGGTTCCTCTGTGGCATTCTTCAGTAAAATATTTATGAGGTAATGCTAAAAATACAAAATTAGGTAAAATAAAAACTTTGTTTCATAGTTGATTTCCCACATGTTCAGACCGTATTCCAGGCAGTCAGGATCTACTGAAGGATCAGGAAGCTCTGAGAGGCTCCCATCAGGGAGAACTAGGGGGAAGGAAATACGAGGCTTGGAGGAGCAGTATGATGGTGGTCTCAGCAGGGGCTGCCCTAGGCAATTAAGCCAGCCTAGAGAAGACGTTTCTGGGTATAGAATAATAACCTAGCAAAGCAAATGAGACTTCCAGATAGGAAAATCTCGGTTTTCTTTTACTTCAATTGGATTATACATTGTACACTGAATTATATAATGTAATCATGTGCTATAGATAGACAGACTGATGATTGATTCTGGGATTTGAAAAACATTTTTGTTTGCCCCAAAGTCAGCTGAGAAGAGAACAAATGCTTACTTTTATTCTCCAAGGAACAATCTGGAATTTCAAATTATTAGTAGTATTTAATCAAGCCAACAATGTGACTGAATAGTTAGCTTATTTCAAGTATTTCTTATAAATTCATTTAATGCACTAATGCAGCATAATTAAGCTAATAAAATTATTACAAAGGATGATTTGTTACATAATTATGATCTGTAAGCATGATAAACAGATCTAATAAAAAACATCCAAGGAACCTATCAGTTATAACTGCAATATGCTCTGAATCTAATATATTTAATCTCCCTAAAACAGACTTCTAAAAAAACAACTATTGGAACATTTAAATGACATAGCAAAACTTGCAGGGATAAGTAGATCAATGTATAATAATGGAGGAGATAACCATAGAGCTACAATTATAAAACACTAAGCTTGAGATTCAGTCAAAAGCATCATGTACCTTGACATCTTTGGCTCCTGTAATGACTTCATTAACATCTGGCACTGACTGCAGTAAAGGGATCTCTCGGTAGGTATTTGGAAAGCAGACAAGAGAACCGAGAATGGTGAGAGCTTCTGTACGAGGTGCCTGCACACAACAAAAGTAAAACACACATTTTCCTTTTTGTAAGTTACAAACTTTAGATAAGCAACAACGTGTTTTACTTTTTCCTGATTTTGAGAGGGAATCTTTATAATTATTTTATCCTAGATAAGAAATATCAAAATATGCCTGGTTTTTTTCCCCGAGGTGAATATTTAAGCAAGAGAGGTTTTCCTAAATGAAAAAAGCAAATTTACAAGGAATGGAAAAGATCACTATACTTGGATATAAACAAGCATTGTGAAAACTGGTCTGTAGATTCATTCAAAGTCAGAAAAGCCAAGTGACTCAGTCATGACTGTTTTACCTTTTTTTTTTTTTAGTCAATGTTCTTGACAAAGCAGGGTAAGTGATATCAACTTAACATTGTTTTTGCTGTAAAGACAGTTAATGAAAATTTATAAGGAAGAGGGGTTGGGGCTAATTATCAGAAGGCAGAGAAGGAGAGAAGAGACCAGCTATCAAATTTCCTGTTTCATCAAGGACTCCTTTGCAAAATAACATAGTGTCTGACATCTAGTGAGATACAAAATCACTTGTTTGTCCATTGCTGGAATTAGGTATATATTAAAGGATGCATTTCACTAGATTTCAATTCAGCCACCACTTACTAGTAGCTATGATTATCCAAGAATGGGGACAGGCACTAGGACTACAAAGGAATGTAGTCCCACCCACCCACCTGTCCATCCATCCCTCTATCTACTATATCTAATAATTACAACAATGGCACCTAACACTTATGGAGTTTTCACTCTGTGCTAGGCACTGTTCCAAGTGCTGTACAAGCATTTCCTCACAGAATGCCCTCAACAAGCCAATGAAGTGGATACTAGTATCATTTCCGTTTTACAGGTGAGAAAACTGAGGCTCAGAGAAATTAAGTAGCTTTTCAAGGGACAGACTCTGATTTGAACTGACCCCATCGAACTCCAGGGTCTACACCAGGCCTGTACTGTTAAGCACTTGGGGTACGAAATGAAAGACAGCTTCCCTTCCTCATGATACCACACAGCTGGTATGTGGGGGGTGGGGAGAAGAGGCAAATAACAGTTACATGCAATTCAACAGAGCATGTGCTATGAGAGCCACATACTGGGGATATCATGAGAGCCCAGTACATTCATTTTTTACCTAGCTTAGTTCTCATCAGCACCCAGGCAAATAACAGACAGTATAAAACAGAGAGAGAGACATTCTATGGGAACAATGATTTGTGCAATGATTTTTTGTGCTCAGATGGTTAGGAAACACTAAAACAGACTGCTGCTAAGAGTCACCTGGCGGAGTAGGAGTCAGCCAGGCAGGTGGAGAGCTAGAGAGTAAGTTGAGGAGGCAAGAGGCACGATGCAGGCAGTGGGAATGGAAAAGACAAAGGCACCCAGGGCACCCATGGAACTGTAAAAGGTACCACATGCACAGAGCCCAGAGAACATGTGAGTGTACATGCAGGGACTGGGAGAGCTATAGCAGGAGGAGTCTGAGAAAGCACTGGGGCCGCCTTGGAAGGACCTACAGGCCACATGGCACAGTCCTCATCTCATCCTGCCTGAGGAGTGATGCCGTCAGACTCCTAATCCGAGGAGGAGTGTGGTGCGAATGGATGTTCTCAGGGAGAGAAGAGTATCAGGCAGTCACTGATGTATAGTCTAGGCAAGAGTTATGACAGCTCCAAACAGGGCAATGGCATCAGGGATGAAGTCACTATATTTTCAATGTTTTATTTCATTTTTTAAATATAAAGATTTGAAATTACTACAGCAAAATGTTAAGATTTGCCGAAGTCAGTCAGTGAGTAAAGAATTTCTTGTTACATGACGTCCACAATGCAAAGCACAATGGTCACCATCCTGGCCTTATCTCACCTGACGCTTCAGGAGCACTGGATGCAGCTGATGGCTCTCTTGTACCTGGGAACACTTTAATCTTTTGGCCTCTGGGACACCTTTCTTGGTTCTCAAGGAGATGTGACGGTCTCTGTGCTGGAACTTCTCATTTCCCTCAGGATCTAAACTGGGATGCTGAGCACAGTTCTTTTCCCTCTTCTCTCAGATCTATACTCACTCCCAAGGGATATCCAGATCCATGGATTTAAAAGCCTCCTACGTGTTGCTGACTCCCAAAATATCTCTTTAGCCCAGACTTCCCTCCTGAAGTCCAGACTTGTAGATCCGACTGCTTGTTTGACATCTCCACTTGGGGGTCCAGGAGGCTTCTCACACTGACAAGCTCCACCTTCCCTCAGAGTTCTGTAGTTCTGTGTAACGCTACCTGACCTCCATCCATCCGTCCTCTCACCTGCTGCCTTTACTTTTCTTTATTTTTATGTTAAGAAAATCTTTAGACATAAAAGTAGAGAGAAAGTTATATCCATTTACGGCATCCAACACCTGGATTCATGATTTTAGCACTCTTGTCTCATCTATCTCCTTTTCATTTTTTTACTTCAACATTAAATATTCACTTAAACGTTTCCACTTTCAATATTTTAAAGCAAATTCAGGACCTTGTGTCCTTCCACCTCGTGTTCTCCAGCATCCCTGCTTTGGGTTTTTTCTTTGCATTCATCACTTCTTGATATGTTATATATTCATTTAACGTTTATGTCCCCCACGAGGGCAGGGGGTTAGACAGTCTTTATCACTTCTCTACCCCACTGGATGCTCAATAAATACTGCCTTGAGATAAGGAGTGGCCGCTCCTGTCATTACTTACTGAGTGAACCCTGCTCACCATTTTCTGCTTCAGCATCACTTCTTCCATGAAGACTTTTCTAGTGTGTGTCTTCCCCTCCACCTCTCACCAAGCAGAATTAACTATTCCTATATTGGTGCTCCTCTGGGTTCTGGATGTGATTCTACTGTGGCTGTTAGAAACTTATGTGCAAAGATTAACACTAGTTCACACATCTGATTCCTTGAGGGTAGGGACCCTGTCATACTCATCTAGGACAGGTCCTGGCACACAGTAGGTCCACAGTAAATGTTTCCAGAAACACACCTTGCTTTGTCAGTCCTCACTAACTGCTGCCCTTTACCTACTAGACAGTCTTGGTTTAGACTTTGTTGGGGTTCTTTTCCCTGAGTGGTCTTGAACTATTGTGTAGTGTGTGACTTAACTTGCACTGTAGACTTTTGGATTGAATGCTCGACTATATAACAATTGGATGCAAAATATTAGCTCTCAAATAAAATAAAGAGTTGTTACACAGCTTTATTCAAAGAATGTAGCAAATCTAGGTAATTTTTTTTTTGCCTAAGCACTCAGCCTATGGTGAGCCCCAATTAACAGACAGGAAAATGAGGCCCACATGCTTAAGCATATTGCCCAAGGATAGATAGTTGTCCAAGGACAGTGCAAAGCAACGATGGGACTGAACCCAGGTCTGACTGTATGGAGCTACAGGGTCAAGAATGGGAAAGGAATTATATGTAATATTCTATTTTATGTGCACACCACAATTTATCTGTTCTATTGTTGATGGACATCTGGATTGGTTCTAGTTTTTGGCTATTACAAATGTTTGCTGAGCACAAGTTTCTACCCACCTTTTGGTGACTTGTACATGCATTTCTCTTTCCCTCCTTGCCTCAGCAGGGCAGATCTATATAGAAGGGGCACTTCAAACTTGTAATTAACTTGTCTTAACCAAAAATTTTGACTGAGCAGGTATGCCCCATCCAAACACCTCTCAGCAGTTCCCCTACAATTTTAAACCTCAAGTTTAAACTAAGAGTAATTCAAAGTAATTCAAAGAGTTACTGTTCCTTTATGTAACTCTTACATTCACATTTTCATATTTTCTCTCTCTCACTCTTTTTTTTTTTTTTTGTGAGGAAGATCGGCCCTGAGCTAACATCTGCCAATCCTCCTCTTTTTGCTGAGGAAGACTGGCCCTGGTCTAACATCCATGCCCATCTTCCTCTACTTTATATGGGACGCTGCCACAGCATGGCTTGCCAAGCGGTGTGTTGGTGCGTGCCCAGGATCCGAGCCGGCAAACCCCAGGCGGCCCGCAGCGGAGCATGCGCACCCAACTGCTTGTGCCACCGGGCTGCCCCCCCGCTTTAAAAAATGTTTCAGAAGGCTACTTTAACAGCTCATGTAGCTAAAAGATAAATTTTCACAGAGAATGACCATCATGCATGATATTATCTCTAGAAAAGGCGCCAACATTTTTACAGGAAACTCTCATGGCAAGTAAAGAAAATTTCAATAAAGAAGTACGATTTTCCTTCCTGTATCCTGTAAGTTTTTTCAATGCTGGTTTGAATGGTTAAAAATAAATTTGAAGGTTCTTTGATGATGATTATCCTAAAATCTTTTTCAGAAATAATGAAGTACAAAAGTTGTCATAGTCTTTACAAAAAAACAGTTGAACAAATTCAACATTTTTCTTCTACCTTTCTTTTCTTCTCTCATCTTTCCCTTTTGCTCCTTTTCCCTTCCCTTTGTTTTTTAATTTATTCTTATAAGAAAAAGTGAAAGCATGAAAATATCAACATGAAATACCAGCTATACAAAGTATTAAAAAACAATTTAATTTAAAATCCAGGGTTAGAGTTTGAATATACCCTGCACTAAGAAAATAAGGACAATGAAAAAGTAACAATGTGTCAAAAAAATTTAGGTAGTTAGATACTCATATTGATTTCAATACAAGTCCTTGGCAAACAGTAAAGCTAATTTTATTTATACCATTTGAAGAGGAAAAAAAAAATGAGGCTGAACAGATAACAGTTGTACAGAACACAAATGTGAAAGGCCCTTTACATTTAAATGTATAAGAGTATTCTCAAAAGGCATTAAGACATTGCCCTAATAGTGGATGTAAATGTGGAGATTGCAAATAAATTTTTTTATAGCCCTTAATACTCATTTAGACTACTCGCTTCTAATTTTTTGGTATAAGAATTCTGCCAGAGTTTTATTGCTCATTAATAAGAAAATATATATATTCATTTTCTGGTTAAAATTTTAGTGTTCTAACATTGTAAGAAAATTTTCTACTAGACTTATAATAACTAAGACAATAATAAAAAGAAAATCTTATCGATAATGTACACTTAAAATTCTCTCTTTACTACAAACATCTATGGCTGTATCACCATTTACTAGAAAATGCTAATAAGATTTTAAGAGACAAGTCCTGCTTCTGACTGTGTAAATGTACTGAAATATTAGTGAGGATATGATTTCTCACACTCTGGCCTTTTGATGAAATGCCTTTCCAATACCAGTGTGTCATCTTATCCTATAATTTCACACATCAGCTGCCAGGGCATCTACCCGAGAGCCCAGTTTCACATTGCACTAATGAGTCAACACCTGTTAGGAGTGGAGAAATCTGAACCTTGTTAGCGATTGGGAAGTCTCCTGGGAGTTTGGATGCTGAGCATTGTCATACTCACCACCAGCATGTCTGTACTGAGGACCCTGGCAGCGGCAGTGATGAAGTCCCCCACCAGCATTGAGAAGCCAGGCAAACCCAGGGAGAAAAAGCGGGGTGGACAGTGCCTTATAATGGTATTTAAGATATCCTAAAAGGGAAGATAAGAAAACACAAGTGTAATTTTCAAGACCAAAATTCCAAAGTAGTCAGCTCGTCTGTACATATGACCACTGTATGATAATGTAAGAGAACACGGATTACAGAAATTTTTCAGTGAAAGGGGTACTGGGAGATGAGTTAGTCCAAAGGCTAATGTAACCATTTTATAGGTAAGACAATAGTGACACCAAACTATAAAATGACTTGTCCAAAATCTAAATCATGGCATTGGGACTAGACACTTCTTCCCTCTTCCACCCACCTAAAGATGAGCTTCTTAGACAAGCTATAGGAGTGTTGAGGTAGATGCATAAATAAAACCTTCAAACATCTATAACTTTCAATTTTCAAAAGTTAAAGCATACTGTTACATTAAAAAACCTTAAAGTAGGCAGAGATGGGAATTTTCACTCTTTGGGTTAATTCCATGGGCTAAACCAATGGGTGATGTGACTGGTCACACTCTAAGGTCAGGCAGTCGGTGTGACTCTGAGTGTGACTGTGAGGTACAAGTATAAAGTGTAGCAGTCCCCTTTTGCACAGGGTGCAGTGAGAAAACCATCAACTACCCAGCCACCTGGTGTTCTGGTGTCTATAATCGCCTTTCACCGGTGAGTGGTTGGCTGGCCCCTGCCCACCAGCTTTGTTCTGAGGCAGTAACTCCATTCCATCCTGTGGCAGACCAGGGCTCCACTACTGGACAGCGTTCATGCCATCCATGGCCAGGCCACATCTCTGAAGCCATCTGTGCGAGTGTGTGAGCAAGGGGGATTAGTAAGAAAATGACGAATTTCTTTTATGCAGTTCTAGGCCATGCACATTAATCAAACCTACTGAGGTACTCTAGTTACGTGACTTGTAGTTATACAACCCATAGTGAGTCTCAAAATACGAGGAAAAAGCAAAATGCAAAAAAGTCTGGTTTCTTTTCTCAGATTTCAGTGTGGCTATTTGAAAAATCCTTTAAAATAATACCGATTTAATTTGATTAAATTAGAGCAAAGTAGTAACAACATGCTAAATTCTAACATGTTAATTTCTTCATAATAAAAATAACCTCATTTAACAACTTGTAATCTTAAAAGAGAATTTTTATGTGTTCACAAAACATTTTTTCCTAAGTAAAGACTTATTTTTTTCCTCATTTAGTTTCTACAAGTCACGCTGTTTATATCCTTAAAATGACTGTACAATGCTTACTCTATTAGAGCTCATATATGGTAAACAGTTTAGCAAGTACTAATTTAAAGTTAGCATTTCAGCAGACTTTTACTATACCAAAAATAAATGATAGATAAATAGACAGACAGATAAAAGGAAGGAAGGAAGAAAGGAAAGAGAAACCCGAACCATGCTTCTTCCAAGTTAATGTTTAAACCTGCTTTAATCACGTCCTTTGATACACTTTAGGGTCCGTATCAGCCAAGGCAAACATTCTAAGGGGCTGAGCAGATGGATGCTGCAGTTTAGAAAGTGTGTGGTAAACTCATGCTCCGAGAGTGGAACAAAAGATCCACCTTTTTCATAATTAAGCCTCTGATTAATGCCCTGGGCTCCTCACCACACACCTGTAATTACTCACAGAGGTACGCATTGTACGGGGCCTTGTCTCGGAATATCAGGCATCAAGCTATCCGGCAGCAGATGGAAGCACATTTCTGTTGACATATGCTGCAATGAAAGGATTTGTGCAAACCTGGCTAGCAAGGTAGCAGAATGCCATGCATTTGAAGATTAATAATGCAAACAACCATAATGTTAACTTGGTTATGTTTGTGTTAATTCCATCTGTTGAGATGAGGAACTAAGCCTTGAACTCTGTAGATTTTTAAAATCTTTAGCACATACTTAAATAAGCCATTTCACCACTGGAATTTAGAGTTTTAATTAAAAAAAAAGTTTTTCTGTGATAAGTTTATAGGAATTATACACTAAATCCTTTAACAAGCTAAAGCCAGAATTTGTAAATGAAATCCATTTTGCTTCATAAGATTCACATGTGTAAAGGCAATGATCTGTAAATGGGGCCTTCACAAAAAATTACTAAGTTGCCATTGATGCTCAAGACAGCAGAGATGTGTGTAGCCGAGATCAAGTCACACAGCTCCCCACCTCTGGATCTCAGCCAGTCACTTCAACAGAGCCTGTTTCTATGGGCAAGAAGATTGGAAAGAGAGGGCAAAATAACAGATGGCTAGCCTACCCTACCCTGCCACCCACGTAAGACAGAGCCCTGAGGAGAATGGGGCCTGTGCCGCTGTTGCCAAAGACAGCACGAGGGTAAGGTTAATGTGGGGGTTAAAGAGGGAAATATATGGCCAGTCAGCCAAATTATGGCCATATGCCTGCTTATTTTGCTCATCCACACTGAAATGGAACAACCCAAAGATTATCTTTGTGATAACATTTTAAACTCAGGAATAACTATGTGCTGCTCCAAAGAGAGCAGTTGCATGTTCCCAATAGAGGGACATCCACAAAGTGCTCCACTCTTTTCTAGTAGAATCCTTCTTCCACCTTCTCCTCAATACATTAAGATCACAGTCATAACTGGAATCTTTGGAAAAATAAAATTCTTGAGACTCTGAAACTTTCTTCACAGTCTCCAAGACTTTCTATATAGATAGGACAGGACAGTTCTCAAATATCAATTATTCATGTACAGCCCTCATGCTTTCTGTCATATCCACGTCCAAAGTGAACATTATTTGTCTGTTTTTCAAAGCAACTCACTTTTTTGAACTTAAATAAGATTATTCTGGAAAGCATGTAACCCGTGTCATAAATAGAAAACCCTTAAATCAATACAATAACGGTAAACCAAGGCTACTGAAGTTTTGCTAAATATCATTGTCTAATGGAGGCTGCCCTTGTTAAAAAGGGCAGTTTGCATCCTCAGGTTGGTGTGACAGAAGTTCTGTACCTGCTCCAGCCTGTCTGCCTGAGAGAGTCACGAGCACCGGCCGAAAGAAGGAAAGGGGCCATTATTCCCACCATGTGATCAGATGCTATTCAGTGCTGCCTCCATTGTGACCACCAGTGGGAAACGCCTCTGTACCCAAACTCAGGTGTGGTGAAAAGAACTCTAGAACTGGGACCACGAGGCCTGGGTTCAAGGCCTAGAGTACGTGACTGGGCAGATCATGTCATGCCTAGAGCTTCACATTCCTCTTTCACAAAATGGGGTAATTCCCTCTTACAGAGTTGTGTCTAGTGGAATAGTGGGTGTGAACACTTGCCTTTGTAAACTGAAAAGAGCCATACGGAAATAATCAGAGTGACAAGCAAAAAATTGTTTTTCAAAAAAGGGAGGATTCCGAAGAATTTTACTTTCTAGAATTTACTTTGTAGGTTTACTTAGAATTTAGTGAACCATTATTTTGCTGATATACAAAAGGGCATTTAAAATATTTTAAAGGTGGCACAAATAAGCCTGATTACATTATTCCAGAAATTAAAAAACTCTAGAAATTAAAGCTCTCAAATAACATCCTTAGCAAAGCATTACAGCAATTAGCCAAAGTGCATAGAATTTATAAGGCAAATGATGAAATAAAAACAGGAAAATGATCTTTTTACATTTTCTAGGTTCCATTCTTCTAAAGAGTTCTAGAATTTACCCCAAACAAGTGAGTCTAGTAGCAAAAATTAGTTTCTTTTCCACACTCTAAACAGACTAAAAGCAATAAGCTAAACCAATAAGCTCAATGAAAAACGGGCTCTAAAATAAGAATTCAGTTTATTCTTGAAAATTGGCCAGCACAAAGCATAGACAAAACTCTTTCACATGCTTTTGTTCAAATGAAACAAAATTCATTCTGCAAAATGTTGTAATATAGTGAACAGACCACCAAACTAGTATTTTTCTCTTGATTTTGGTTAAAAGTCCACACACATTACACAGAGTGTGAAAACTAGATTGTAAGATGATAATTGTGAATTTGCAGCTTATCAAAAGATTCAGGTTTATGAGAAAGTAACTAGTAGGAACATCTGTCTCTTATCACCGATCTTACAAAAATCAGGTAATTCAAATAGAGCCATGTTGTTTCCTCTCCTCCAAAGCACAGTTCTATAAACACAAACTGCATTCAGGCTGGTAAATGAATCGCTTTAATTGAATGCTATGTACACAATAACTGGAAAAACCATAAGTGATAAGAAAAACATATGGTGATGGCAATAGAAATTGGTTTATTCATTTTGCATACTGTTGTTTCTTTAGTTCTCGTATAATTGACCTTTAGAACGATGAATGTGTAAAATAATTTTGTTTATTATGGCTCCAAACCTTCCAACAATTACACAAAATGAAAATTTAAAAGGAAGGATTCATTCTGGAAGCATTTCCATTGTTTACATAATTGCACAGCTATAATTTAGAGCTCGTGTTGTTATGGAAAATAAAAAAAAGGGCCATTACAGGCCATTTCAATTCAAAATATTGCACAGTGGTGTCAAAAATGGGGGAAAATGTTCACTTTAAAGCTGTTAAAAATGGATTAACCCTGTAAACAAAAACATTTCAATATAGTATTCTTTGAAATACAAATGTTCAAGGAGTAGCCATCCTTCAAATGGAATTAGAAATGTTGCAACTGTACTTTCACACCAATTACGTATATATTATTCACTTAATATTTGCTCACGGCCCAGCAGATGATGGTTGTAACACAATAGCTGGCCATCTGTCTCCCTGCCTTTCCTTAGCAGACTCACGCCTGCTCCTCAGGAGCAAACAGATCCGGTTATTCCACCTAAAGTCACTCAGACCTTCCAGGAGGCCAAACAAATTGTTAAGAAATAAAATCTGTGTATGCAAAATCATTGAACTCCTCTTTTAACTTTTTACTTTAAGAAAACTAAAACACCACACAATTAACGACTTCACTATTTTTCACAGAAGATACCTGTCCTTTATCAGAAAATTCTATAGGAAGCGCTTCTACTTGGTGAAACGGGGAGCATTCAGATCTGGTTATCCCATTA